AAATGGCAGGAATATAAAGCTACCACTCACTCTAATCAGTGTTACTTATATTCTTCCTCTCTTTTCCTAGAGGAACAGTATATATTTCTCATACATTATTTGGGACTTTTTCTAATGTTTTTATTTTACAATTCCACTTAAATACCTTCATCAAGATTAAACTGTCGTGCTGTTATATTTAGTGTGTGTATGTACATCACCACACAGAGCAGACAGTTTTTCCACTGGAAAAAAATCACAGCTGATAAGATGAACAAAGCAATCATTGTATTCTCTCACAGGGAAAATTAAAGCACAAAGGATTTAAGGACATGCAGGAAGTCTGTTGGCAGAGCCAAGAACACAACTGTCTCTTAAGTTCTGGTGCAAATGCCTCTGCCACGGGCCAAGCTTCTTGAGCTGGAGAGAAGCTGTCCTTTCACTGCCCTGCTTCCGGTTTGACTGGGAAAAAGAAACTGAAAAGGCAGGATAGGGAGAGGGAAGAGAAATAATCCTAGTTGTGAAGCTGTGATCTCTTAACAAGAGAGAAGAAATGTTCCCAAACTAACCAACCGATGCCTTTCTCCCCCTTCTCTTTATCCCATTCAAACCCAAAAGTAATGTTGCTTAAGTAATCCTCATGTCACAGTAGAGGGTTCTGTGCAACTAATCAGCATAATGTGCTTCCCTTTACTTCTGCTTTCTCTGGCCACCTACAGAAAGCCCTTCAGCTGACATTTGTTTGATCTTCTTTAAAAGAAAACACGTGCAATAAAAGCCTTGCATTATTGGAACTACTTCCTAGGTTTGTTTTCACATATTCCTTCCTTGCATCCTGTTTCTGCTTTTTTATTTAAATTAATCTTGGGGAGTTTATGAAAGTTTGGGTACCAAGGCTTTCATTACTTTGGCAGAAATAGTTTAGTTCTGCATAATTCTGTTTCCTGAAATATTTTTTCACCTTAAATCTAAGTCTTGGATGCTACATTTGAGATGTAGCAGCAATTTAGTTTAAAATAATTTAGTTGTAATCCAAACAGTAACAACTTGAAGGGGGCAAGATATTGGTTGAGAATGATTTTGTTTGTATAGTAAATAATAGCACCTTTTTTATACTAAGATCATTTTGTAGCTGGATCTGCTGCAATTGTCTTGATACTCTGAAGCTTTCTATCTACTGATGAGGAAGTTTTCTGTTTTCTTGTGTGCATGGCAAATCTTGAATTTCTTGAATAATTGAAATTGGGCCATTGAGTTTTGTCAGCATTTACAGTGTCATTTGTTGGTTCTGTGGTGAAAAGTAGCTGTTGACTGTAGTAGCTGTATGTCTTACTTGAGCTTAGTCTTTTCCTCTTTCATTAAATTGTGGTATTTTAAAGGTAGTTTTTAAAATGTACTGTGCAAGACGATTTTCTTCTGGTTTTTTGTCTTCCCAGTTACACACTTGTGGGAATCTATCTTAGTATTCTAACTTTAACTTAATGTTTTACGGTAAAACTGGTTTGGTTTAAGTGAGCTGTTTGTCAGTATTGATGCTTGTGGACTATGCCTATAAGTAGCAATTTTATTTATTCAAAAACCCTTTTATAATTCCTGTATTTTTACCTTTACCAAATAAACTCTCTTGAAATTTCTTAAATTTCAAAGATTAGTTTAGTTTCCTAATTTTAATATTAACCATTGACTGTTTCAGACACTGGCAAATAAGAAAACAGTTACTGTACAAACAAGATTTGATAAACTATTAGCTTGTTGCTCCTAAAAGGTGTAGGTTTCTCTCTCCTACTCTTTCTGCTTTCTCCTCCCTTCTGCTCCACTTCAGTCAAAGTTAGTCTCTACCTGTTCCTTGTTCTTTAAAAAAAATGCAAATATTATTTATCAGAAACAATTTAGGGGGAAAAAACCCCAAATGCCAGAAAACCCTTATTTATCATTATTATTCTATTAAATTTGCAAATGTGGCATTACATGCTGTATCTGGAAGTTTACTGGATTTTTTTTTTCATGTTACCCTGAGACTTCATTTGAGTGACTTGGGAAAACTTTCATTTCCCAACATGTTAAGCCTCAAAGTACAACAGACAGTTTGCTGCTACTGCTTCTTGTTTCATTTTGCAATTCAGGTTCTGACTGGATTAAGAAAGGGAAGTTTTATACTGGGGAAATTCATATTGCCAAACCTTCATTTCTGATAGAACGCCCCCATTATCTTCAAAATTAAAGCATTTTTTCACTGTAAGAGGGATGCTATGACAGAATCAAGGCAGCCCATTCCACCTAGAGTGTAAAATACATATTTGCTGTCAGCTATCCTAGTTGTGTATCTACTCAATGCATAATAATTAAAAGAAAAGTCAAAGGCACCGATATTAACTGAGCCTTGTGTTACAATAGTCCATAGCATTAGTTTAAATCACATGCATTAAAGAAGAGTTTGATTATCTCCAACCTTTTGGAGGAACAAAAGAAAAGCCGACAGGTAACACACTTGTGTCTTGTTGTGTGTGTCCCATAGAAAGGACCTAGATTACAAGTGTTATCCACAAGCCATTGGTTTGTTAGTAACTAAGAGGTTAAGGAACATAAAAGAAAAAAAAGTCTTCATAATAAACCCTATTTCTGATATCTTCTAGTGGAGCATTGAAATAGGGTTTTAAATGTTCAAGTGACGTGTTTTTAGACTTGATGTAAATGATTATTATCTAATATAAAACAGTCTCACCCCCAAATATGTTTATATTACAGCAACTTGGACAGCATTTTGGTATGCCTAAGCTGCATTATTAGGACATTTTAACTACATTTTAGACCAAATCTTTCCCTTTCTCCCACCTGTACTGCAATGAGGACTGAGTTGTGTGATTCAGGATTTGTTAGATTTGAACTGGAACCTGGCCACATTCACAGAAACACAGAATATGCCAAGTTGGAAGTAATCCACAAGGAATGCCGGCAAAGTACATTGAATGATAACAGTTGTCTTAATGCCCCCTCATAACTTCTTCAGAAAGGCATGGTTTTTTCCACTATTAGGCCTGTTGACAAGTAATAAATTGTAGAATGTTTCGCAGATCACCGTGGGATGTGGGCCACGTACAGCTGGGCAAGAGCAGGGAAAAGACATTGCAAAGCCAGTTAGGGCCTTGTTGAAAGAAGCACTCTTGCATGGAACAAACTGAACAGTGCCAATCACGCAGAGCAGCTGTGCAGGAAAGACATAATCTTCCCAGCCAAATAGCATGTTCTCTGCAGGAAGCCATATCCAACTCAAGTTCTTTGGAAAGCTTCATCTTACTGAAGTTTCATTTAAAAAGTGAGACTTGGAAGAATCCCAGAGGAATCTTCTTTTTTTTTTTTTTTCCCCCCCTCCCCTTCTCGTGATCAACAAACCCCATGATTCAATCTATTATATCATAAAATATGCTAGTACATATGTCCTGAATGATTAATTATAGTATTTTTTGTATAATCTGCAGCTGTTATTGCTGATGGGTATTTGGACTAATGCCTCTGATATTAGCACAGAAAAAGCTTTGGTTTCAATTACTCTCCTTCATTTTTAAACAAGTATTAAATTCATTGCTCTGCTTTACTTTTCCATTTTTTTCTTCAGTACACTAAAACAAAGAGGCTTTTCTGACTAAATTGAGACTATATTCAATTAAATTAATTGTAATTTATCCTCGCAAAAGGAGAGAGTAATTTACCAGAAAGAACAAACACAGAAGAGTACAAATCAACTTTTAATAGGAGTTCAGTGAGTAATTTTTGAAAGTCTTGTGCTTTGCCATGCTAGGGTTATGTCACTGTTTTCATAGTTATCCAGCTTTGCTTGTATTATGCATCTTTTTTCAAGGCCTAATTCAAAAAGGTCTGATTTAAAACATGTTTGTATTAACGTGTCTGAGTAGCCATGTGTATTTAATAGAGAGTAAATGTAAGTTTTCTTTGTTTTACTGAGACTTTGGAGTTAGAGACTCTTCTTTCAGGGAGTCCAATGTATGTGGAGAGAGTGCCCAATAATTTCCACAGTTGGATTAAATTGCTTTGGATATTCTAGGTCGCAAGGAACTTTGTGAATACTAGTAAGAACATCTCACAGTTTTCTACTTATTGGTAGTATTATTCCTACTTTATTCTAGTAATGGGTAGTATTATTTCCTACTTTGTAGGAAAATCAAACTGTGACAACGTTAAGTGAGTTGCACGTCATACAAAAGTTTCAACAACAGAGCTACAGGTAAAATGCTTTTGTTCTAAGTAACCAACTTTGATGTGCAGATGATGCTGTTAGCACTGCTATCCTGAAGGTTTACCACCTTGGGAAGATTTCATTTTATTATGCTTAGCTCTGTTATTAACTCTCAAAGATCCATTGTGAACCTTCAGAAAGGAGGACAGCTCTTAATGAGGAAGCTATCAGAGAATCAAGATACTTCTCTAGGCTGTGTTTATCCCTGCTGTAAGAGTTCCTACCACGTGAATTATAGGTTTCGAAATCGATATGGAGTACTCAAACTGGTTTTAGGCCACTTCTGTGTACAATTAGCTGTGCAAAATTCCTGAATTCATTCAGGATACTCTGATACTCTGAAGTGGGCACAGTGTTGCCTTGCTCCCATTACTTCAAGATAATGCATCCTGAAATTTCTTAGTCCTTTATACTGTTTGATTCCAGTCTCAGTCAGTTTGCCCTCAGATCCTATCCTCTGGACCACAGATCTACAAACATCTGTCTTTCACACTTTTGTCACTGTTCTTCATCCTCCATATCAACAACCCAATGTTTTCCTGCACTTCGGCTTCCAAACCACTGTGCTTGGCATACTAGTATTGTAACAAAAATCTAACAAGTGAATGCTGAGCACTTACGACTGAGTCTGATAAATTAAAAAAACAAATACTGTGAAGATCTTTGTTCCTGTGGAGTTATTAAAGGGGTAAGATCCGCAAGTAATGAAGAGTGTTTATAATGAGACATATTATTCATGGACTTGTTTTTTTTCTTTTGGTCTTTTCAGGTGTTCCAGGACCTTGGCACTTCTGTGTTGTCAGGTGCATTTAGAGGATACAACATCTGCCTCTTTGCATATGGACAGACAGGTTCAGGAAAAACTTACACAATGATGGGAACACCTGTGAGTTACACCATTCATTTTAAACTCCAGTTTGAGGGCAGGAAGTCTAGCAGAAACATCTCTTTATTTTTAAACTGTTATAGTGCTTGTTGAGTAGAATGCTTATACATGTTTTATTTGGTATTTAAGGGTATAAGATGAGAGACTTTACATTTAGGTAAATCATACAGTATCAGGTAAAATACTAGAAAATACAGTATAGTTTAAATATTTATTATTCAATCATCTTACTATGCATGAATCTTACCACCAAGTTAGAGGACAAAGGAAAGCTGTACACCTGAATAGCCCTGAGTTTCAGAAACTGTAGCCCAAAGTAATACAAAGTAATAATTCTCATGGAATATTTTGGCAGTCTGAACTGTACTGAGTTTAAATTACTTCCACAAATAAAACTGAATAAAATTCTCAGTAATATTTTTGTAACAGGCTTAATTATTTACTTGAGATATTTATCTCTTGCAGAAGTTATTCTTTGGCTTGTGGAAACTAATACTCACTTCACTTCTAGTTTTGAAATGTATTTGAATAGAATTTGCAGAAGCTGTTACGTTTTAAGATTGCCTACCAGGAATCATTTAAAAGTGCATTTTAATCTTAGTACTCAGATTGATAGAGTCAGTTGATGACTTCCTGTGGTCTGCTGTAACACAAGGCAATTTGATTTTTATCCATAAATATTCTTAGCTGTTGGTGAAACATACCCCTGAAAAAGAGAAAAAAAATAACAATTTGTGTAAGTGGATCAGTATTTCCTACATCCATGGGATTCAATTTTTAAGGTGAAATAAGGGCAAAATGTGTTCAAACCCTGAAGATAAGAAAAAGACTGTTCTAGCATGGTTTGTGCTTTTGACAAGAGTTTTAAAATTTTATTTTCTCAACAGACAATAGGATTTTGTCAAATGATTACCCATTTCTCCATTAATTTTATGCAAAATCAAGCTTTATGCCATGACAGCCTGAAGAATCGTTAAAATTGGAGTTGATAGGTGATAAACTAGGGTATTTGTATTACACTATTTCAGAAATATCTTAGCAATTCAGAATGCCCACATCTTGAAATATCGTTGTAAGAGATTTCCTTCTTAGATAGTGATTTCTTTCTCCATTGGAATACTACTTTGATCTGATCTTTAATAATGTGTGTCCAGTGTGAAACAGAGTTCAAACCTAAGAAGAAACAAATGTTTGGTATAAACTGAACTTTTGTCTGTGGTGATCTACTTGATGAACCTGGACTTTCTCCCCTCAACACCATTTCAGGTGTGCCTTTTAAAAGTCTTCCATGCCATTCAGCAAGCAGATTCCACCTGAATCTTGGAGTCTTTCCCAGAGTATGTTGGCACTGCAATCACTGAAGTGTGAGCAATCATGTCATAAGAACAGTTCATCACACAAAACGACACAGTTTCTTCAGTGCTGTGTAGACTGTTTGGGAAAACTTTAAATCAGCTAGTTTGGGTACTGTCAGCAGCCCCATATCCTTTTCTCTCTGAGAGACAAATTTATAAATCTAGCTGTTCTAAGACTGCACTGTGATGCCACAGCATGAAGAAATAAAAGTAGAATAAGAAAAAAACCCAAAATATTCATGACCAATCAAACTAGTTTCAGTGTTGGCCTGGCTTCATCTAGACTGCAACACCTCTGACATATATGTGTCCAGTATCTTTACATCAAACAGCTCTTAGATTTAACCCATGCCTCTAAACTTCTCATTGATGCTGTTTAAGTTACTCTAAAATTACTTTTGCTATAGATAACCATACTGTGTTGAGCTACACTTCAGAGCTGTTTGTGCTGTAATCCATCATAAAGTCATTACTGCACTCTGATTCTGTCCTTTTCTTATAACTTGGCTTTTATTTTACAAATAAGTTTTGCATGAGTGACAGCAAGTATATTATTTAATTTTTTTTTCTGTTTGTTGTTTGAAGGCGTCCATTGGGCTGACACCTCGTATATGTGAGGTATTTCTTTTCCTTCACCTGCATTTGTTTAAGCAGTTACATTTTCTTAATGTATTTAAAATTTACATAAACTTCTGGTTTGTGCAGGGTCTCTTTTCAAGGAAGGATGATTACTCAGACCAGACAGCATCTTGCAGGGTAAAGGTCAGGTAAGTTTGTCACTGGTTTGGACAGTGATATGAAAGCTTTCAACAACATATTCCTGTGATCAAACTAAGTAAAAACTAGTTTATTTTGTTTCTCTTTTCTCAGATGATAGTAATTTTGGAGCAAGGGGAAGAACACAGAGGAAGGATGAGGAAGTGCTTGTTTTAGGTTTCCATCTCAGTATAGCTCTTTGGATGCTGTATGTTTACTTTTATATAGACAGCTGAAATAGGAGTGTAGTGAAAAATTACTTCCTGTTTGTTTGACTCCTGAATTTGAACCATAATCCTACATTCCATTCTTTATCATTTCCATGGACTTAATGAGCAGTATGTTTGGAAATCTGGGGCTTTGCACCCACTAGTGTGAAACATCTATGCAAGATTCAGTTAGTTACGTTGTCTAAATATATGATTTCTCTTTTTGTTTTTGTTCTGAGTGCATTTAGCTTTTTTTTCTTTGCTATTCAGTTTTCTTGAAATCTATAATGAGCGTGTCCGAGATTTGTTAAAACAGTCAGACCGAAAGAAACCTTATACGCTTCGTGTCCGAGAGCACCCAGAAACAGGACCATATGTACAAGGTGAGAGTGGGCTTCACAATTAGCAGCAAAATTACAAGTAAATGTGTATCAGGTCTGTATGTATCTTTGCATATATATTCCTGGCATGTTCCTGATTGCTTCAAGAGTTACTTTCCTCAAGTGTTTTTCATGTTAATATGATCGTGTATAACACACTGAAAGCTTTGCCTCTGTTATCTTACTGGTTGGATGTCCTGTACCTTTTTGATTGCTTTTCCAGGTATAGGTCATATGTGAGCCATGGTATTTTGCTTTCTTTTCTTTTGAAAAGATGTTAAGTTTATCAAGAAATCCACCAACATCAGCTCTAAAGGGGTTCTCCACACCAACCTAAGGTCCCTCCATACCTGTTTTGGGCTCTGGTAGCAGAATGTACATTTAAAAAAAGAAAATGTAGATAAATTCAACTGTTGGATGTTGTAGGGCAGGCCATGATTAAAATCTGTATTACCCAAGTGAGAACCCAAAAAGATTCATTTTTCTTAATTAAACTGAAAAAATGCAGGATGGATAATGTAGGTGCATTATATGATTAAAACCATCATGGCTTTTTAAATCATAGAATCATAGAATTATAGAGTCACAGAACATCCTGAGTTGGAAGGGACCCTCAAGGGTCTTCAAACTGCAACTCTCCGCCCTGCACAGGACATCGACAAAAATCTCACCATATGCCTGAGAGCATTTCCAAACACTTCTTGAATTTTGTCAGGCTTGGTGCAGTGACCACTTCCCTGGGGAACTTGTTCTTGTGCCTGACCACCCTCTGGGTGAAGCACCCTTTCCGAAAATCCAACCTAAACCTCTCTGGACACAACTTCATGGCATTTTGTCCTGGGTCCTGTCACTGCTCACCAGAGAGAACAGATCAGTGCCTGTCCCTCTGATTCCTCACCATGAGGAAGTTGTAGATTCCAATGAGGTGCCCCCTCAATCTCCTCTTCCCCAGGCTGAACAGACCGAGTGATCTCAGCCACTCTTCTTATGGCTTCCCCTCAAGGCCCCTTCACCATCCTCACAGCCTTCCTTTGGACATTCCTTTTCATCCTGCTTACATTGTGGTGCCCAAAACTGCAAACAGGACTCAAGGTGAGGCTGCCCCAGTGCAGAGCAGAGAGGGACAGTCCTCTCCCTTGACCAGCTGGTGATGCTTTACCTGATGCCCCCCAGGACACAGTTGGCCCTCCTGGCTGCCAGGGCGCTGCTGACTCAGATTCAACTTGCCATGGACCGGGACCCCCAGGTCCCTTTCTGTGGTGCTGCTCTCCAGCCTCTCATTCCCCAGCCTATACATTCATCCAGGGTTGCCCCATGCCAGATGCAGAATCTGGCCCTTGTCTTTATTAAACTTTATATAAACTTTATATAAACTTTATATAAACTTTATATAAACTTTGGTGATTGCCCAGCTCTTTGATTTGTTAAGGTCTTTCTGCAGGGCCTCTCTGCCTTCGTAGCTATTAAGGTATTTTAAAAAACTGATTTTATTGTCCCCACAGTACTGTCCAGCTTCAGTTCCAGTTGAGCTTGACCACACAAATTTTCTCCTACATTTTACTCCTTCACGCTTATAATAGCAGCCTGCTGGATGGTTTGTGTTTTTTAGTGAATCGTAGCTTTCAAATTATGTGACCGAGAACAGATGAAAAATTAAAATGTGTTTTTTTCCCATTTCAGTTGTCTTTCTTACTTCAGTTCTTCTCTCTCATTTTTCTACTTCCAGTTCATTTTCAGTTTTGATTGGTGCCTTCACCTCAGGTGATCTCACAGATCTTTCAATTGTAGCTAGGCCTTTGGTACTTTGTAAATCGATTGGCCCCTGGTGTAAAGTTTGCCTGCTACGTTGCTGTGTGTCTGCCCACAAACTGACAAAAGGCAGATCTCAAAATTAGTGCACCCGTGCAAAATCATACACTAGAGCTTTACACTGGAGATCACAGGAGCCTTTTCCAAACTGATGCAAATTTCACAAATTAGTTAGTTTTTTTAGGAAGTAAATGCATACATTTTCTTTTCAGTTTACCTTACAGTGGGCAAAATTCCAAAGTTGCCTCTGGTATCACTGACTGCAACTGCTTGGCTGGCCACCAAGTGGGTAGTAACACCTGGGGGGTATGTATTTAGTACACAAAATCCATATTACATATAATTTTGTGGATCCTGTCACATCAGATCAAATATTGGTTTTTTCCTGGGTTTTAAACAGAATTCTTGTCTCTGTTTGTTTTGTAAATTTCTTTTGTTCTCCCTGGTTTGCTTTTCTCCCTCTCCTTTTCTTTACTACGGCATTACACATCGGGTTGTTATCCTCACTTTAGAGATTAAGGCAAAATGTGACAACAGATAGGGTGACTTCACTCTGTGATTAAATAGACCCTGGAATTCCCGTCTCTGATTCCCTGGACACCTGCTGTATTGGTCACACTACATCTAACAACCAGTGGTTGTTACAAATTCCTCCTCTCAGAATTTGAAATCAGTGCTTGGAAAGTGTTGAACTTGCATAGTCTTATACACAAGGGCCCATCTTGCATTCTGGTTATTTTAGCTGTGCTTTCCCAGCACATCAGCATCCTGTTTAAGGAGAGTTGGAAAATAGATGAATTGATGGTCTCATTAGTATGGCAAACTTATCATTCTTTGAAAAGCAGATTCATAGACATTTGGCTTTTATTGAGGTCTTTCCAAGATTCTTTCTACCTGCTTATCGTAGAACTTCATTGTTGGTGGAGTACAGATACTAATTATTTTCTTTTAGCAGCTGCTCATTCACCATACAAGAAAAGGTCTTTAAACTGCTTCCTTCCTTGGTAATTTCCACCCCTTTTCTCGGGCCTTATATCTCCAGTGATTCCTTGGCTGCATATAATGGAGTTTCCCTGTTTTAAAAGAAAATACAGTTATAGCTTCTGCCAATGGGCTGGCTTGTCCTTTGTCAGTATTTTGTCTTCTGGAACCTTCCAGGCCAATTCTGTCACTTTTTTTTCAATTCTGTAGTAACTTTTTTTGTTGTGGGGGTTTTTTTGGTTTTTGTTGTTGTTGTTTGTTGGTTTGGTTTGGTTTGTTGTGTTTGTTTGGTTGTTTTTTTAAATTTACCCCTTTTGAAAAAGGATTTTATACTTAGATACAACTGAAGATCTTGAGTGGAACAGTTTTATGCTAGAGTTCTCAAATATGCCATGAAATTCCCAGTTGATTAGATTTTGTAGCTGGGAGGAAAAGATATTGGCAAAGGATTAACCTAAGTGATATTTGCCACTTTTTGCCACAGTTGTTAGTTCAGTTTTAATAATTTATTTTAGAAGATTCTCTCCCTCTGTATGTTATGACAGCCTACAAAAACCATTATGTTAATGCCAGTAATAAAAAATTTTAATTTTAATGACATGATTCAGATTTTTCAAAAAACTGAACACATGCATGAAAAATGAAGTAATTTCTCTGCTGAAGGCATCATAGAATATAATTAGATGCTGTTGTGAGACCATGTGAACAGAAGTGATTTCAGGCTCTGTGAGTCAGTGGCTTAGGGCAACAGATGACATACTTCTTTTTTTTTTTTTACATGTGTATATATATGAATATATATGAATAAATTTGCCTATGTACAGTTTATGCAATTAAGAACTGTGACAGTTTGCTTTATTTTAGACAGCTCTGGTGTCTATTGGGGGAGGGAGTAGTAAGGAGGGTGTGATAGCTTGTTTTGGAACTGCATTCAGTAGCTCACATCAAAAATAAGCAGCAGTGACAAAGTCCAAAGGTCTTTTGAGTGCAGGTGAGGAGTACAGTCAGCTAGATTTTAATAAGATCAAATTTAAGAAAATGAAGAGATTCACAGCACTGGTACAAAGTGCCCTTCTCAACTGCAGTAATATACTGCTGCAATTAACAATTGCTGAGCTGTGTAATGAGGGTCTTGTACATGTTGAAGTAGTCTTTGGCAATTTTATACGTAGTGTCTCTGTGCAGGATCAGAGTGTTATATTCAGCAAGAAAATTGTTTCCAATAGCTAGATGGCAGAGATTAAAATTATCAGCAAGTTTACTAGAAGGGCAGCTTGGTTTATATTTCTCTTCCAGGCAGTTTGCTGTATGGGAGAAATAAAAATGGTGAACCTCAACAAGGCTCAGAAATTTTCCATTATTTTTCATAGATCAAACAAAATAAGGATTAGCATCTATATTTGTATCATACTTCTTGCAAGCAATCAGCAGTTTTAAGGTGTGCTGACTTTGATCAGTGTACCACTGGTTTCAGTTGTGTGTTTGGCGTCAGTGATATCCAGAGTACAGTTAGCAGTGGATGAAGAACAGAGAGAGAGTAAAATCAAAAGACTTCACCCCTTTAAGGGTGGTTAGATGCTCTGGGAAATGCAATTTTCATTTGCAAGTCCACTCAGGAAGTCCCAGCTCTGAACACTAGGTATACTGAATAGTTTCCAGCCCATCGTTTTTGCACCTAAAGGCTGAGAGATTGTAGCCTTTAAAATGCTGAAAGTGTTTCAGTGCTTTGGATTGGAATCGTTTCAAACTTCTCTCTCACAGATGGTTGCACTGTTAAGGAATCAGCCTCTCTTAAATCAGGAAATGATGCAATCTATTTTATTACTCTGAGACAGATTTCTGGGGGAGATCCTTTCTTACTCCAAGGCAGACAAACAAGCGTTTTTGATCTTTCTGTGGGATTTGAAAATGACCTTTCTTTTTCTAACAGTCAACAGAACACTTTGTCGTTTCTTTTCAAGCAAAATTTGCAATATTTCATTAGTCTTATCACAAAACTAAATGCTTTGAACTCTGTACTAGATTTACTATTTCAGTGCCTATGGAAATGTAGGCAGGTAAGAATTTCTTCTGTACCTCTATTTTTCATAGCTGGGTTTTCATGCAGTTAAATAAATCCCTGAAAAAAGGTCTGGGAAAACAATGTAGATAGTTTCCATATTCTGAGCTTTGAAGATCCCAGTGCTGCTGGAAAAATAATGGGCCTCTTTCTCAAATGGAAAATATGATGACTTCTGGAATTAATGTATTGTAAAGGGACACTAGAGAGCAGAAGAAATAGTTTTGTTTGAAAATCATTCTATAGTTTGTGTATGTGCAAGTGTGCATGCATGCACACTGCAGTGAGGGGTTTTTTTAAGTGTGGCTGATCCAAAAATCTTTTTTTCTTTATGTGTATCAGTTGTTAAAGGACTAACGTAAATTCCCATCTTTGACTTAGATTTTGTCTTCATTTAAAGTTATACAAGCTGTTATCCTCTAAGATAGACTCTAAGAATTTCAGAAGTACTTATTTCAGTCCTGCTGAATTTTACATTAATCTTGACGTGCATTCTAGCAGTAGATAAATTATTTGATCCAAATAAATCAGATTTTTTTCAGTACTTTGCCTTCACCCACACTGTTGTGGTCTGTAGTAAAACTGTCCAAACCTAAATCTGTGGCAGGGGGAGAAAGTTGCCCTGGATTCCAGCTGTGAGATAAAATATTCTACACAGGCGTATTTTACTGAGTATCGTATGATGAAGACTTACTTCATAGCTCAGGTGTTTTTTAAGGAGTCACTGCAGTACAAATGATGAATAATCATCACCATAAAATGGAAATGAGGCATATTAAACTGGATTTATGGGAAACACAAGTCTGTTGAGGATAATTTCGTATGTCTGCTGGAATTTGCATTTTGCAAGAAGCTGGCAGGGCCGGTGCAGCACAGCAGCACACTGCCCTCCACTGGGGCCTGCTTAGTCACGACCACCCCTCTAACACAGCAGGCTCTGAATACTGTATTTCTTTCATTTGTTTAAGAGGTTTCCCCCCTTAAAAATAAAATCAAATAGAAAACCCCCAAAACAAAAGAAACATACTAACTAAAGCCTAAACTGAAAGCTGGAGACGAGAAAGAAAAGGCTAGATGTTTCATACAATTATTTGGGGAAATCCCTCAAAAACTATCTGAGGAGAGAAGTGCATGAAGGCTTCTAACTGCAGGATGAAGCCTAGCTAAGTGAGTGGTGAATATTCCAAGGGTTAGTTGGTTCTGAATTCTGTTAGTTGCATGAGCAGAACCATTATCCAGAGGCAATGGCAAAAGGCTTCTTTACAGGATCTGTACCCAATTAGTAGGAGTGGCATAGCTGAACATTTATTATGGAGTTAGAGTGGCTTTTAAATAACATTGTTCTGCAGACAAGTTGGAAAAAGATCTGCACTTCGAAGGTACAGTGCATCACTGAATGATGGACTGCAATTTTTAACTTTATTTTTTTGAAATTAAAGTAGTTGGGATTTTCTAAAATAAAAGTTACTCTAGTTAAGAGACTACTTGTAGAATAGGTTGGCATCTCAGCAGAACATCCTTATGCTTCTGATGTTGGGTAAATTGTTGGATTAACTGGCTGAAACTTCCTCAGAAAGCTATATATTTAACTCTTCTTGAATCTTTGGCAGGATTGACTCAGCATTTAGTTACAGACTACAAGCAAGTTGTAAAACTTCTAGAAGAAGGAATAGCTAAAAGGTATTTTATATAACAAACCAACTCCATCTCTATTTAACACTTCTTCCACCGTGTGTTAATTTCATTGAAGTTTATTTTACTGACCATGTTGCCAACGGTTTGTCATGACAGGATGTCAGATTTGCTGATCCTGCATAGAACTTATACATAAGATGTTATGTATCCTCATTTTATCCACAGCAAGAGCTATAAGCACTCATGAAGTTGTTTTTTCAAAACTGATCCCATACTGACTTACCAACAAAATTCAACCTGTGTTTTTGTCTGTGACAAAAAATGCAAGCCAACAAAACATTTTGCTGCAATCAGACATCTGTTTTTCCCATTCACTTGCTCATGACACTTTAGCCTGTATAGCTTTCAACTCACTTGTTAGTTTAATTTAGTTATCTAAAATGGCTGAAAATATAGTGTATATTTATTTATTTATTTTCAGAAGTATTTGGTTTATAATTATTTGGTTTAATTTCTATTAATATTTTTCAAAGTTCTTAGTCCAAATCATGTTTGCTTGCTATGAGAGAACTGCAGGGTTTGGCACACTGGTGAAGACAATGATTTTGACTCTCTTTAGTCAAGACACTTACCTTCTCAACAAGAAGCCTTGAATATCTTTACAACTGCCATTGCAGCAATGGAAAAAAACATATTTGAAAGGATCCTCCAAATGCAAATCACAGTTCTAAAACTGATATTAAGTCTTATCATAAGATAGCTAAGATTTTAGAATAACAGTGATGCTGGGAAGTAAATAAAAACTGAGCTGCATTATCACAAAAAACATAGAATATACATCAAGATTAAGTTCTGCTGCTTCTGCTTGTGGCAATCAATAGATGCAGCTCTATGGTAAGAAGAGACTATTTCAGAACAACAAAATTCCAGTCTGTCTATGAGTGTAATCCTACAGTTGTCTCATTGCTAAGGAAATTGAAGATGTAAAGGAAACAAAATCAGAGGTGCAATATTTTGTGTGTAAGTTTTTGTGATGCTGAAGTTTCCAACTATGTCATTTGCATGAAACAAACCAACAACTTCTTTTTCTGAGTATTTTTTCCAAAACTTATTTGGAACATACAAGGGACTCTTGCTTTCCTGTAGTCTCTATTTTTATTAAATATTCTGCCAAGTATTTATTAGCACATCATAAATACAATCAAACTAATTTAAAACATCTGCAGTCTGGGAATTATGTCAAATGAACATCAGCAGGATCTTAGGGATAAAGAAAGTGGTGAACAGGTTGCAATTGCCCCATATGGCTGGAGCCAGGAGAGGAGCAGATGGGGCGCGATGGCTCCAGGTCTGACTATACAAGAAAGGCAGGAGGGGACTCTCCCCTTGCACATGGGTAGTGCCTTTCATGGGACAGAGTTTACTGAATCAGTTTACTGAAGGCATTTCTTCTACCAGTTGGTTTTATCAGGTCATCTCCAGCTCTGCTTTGGGCACACTTGCTCATTATAAAATAAGCAAATATGATTTTCAACATGCAATCATTATTTTTGTTGCTACTCTCAGTGCTTTTTTTTTTTTTTTTCTCTTGACACTTTACAAGACTCAGTTTCAAATGTTAAAGATTAAAATTTTTATAATGCAGCAAATTAAAATTTCCAGAAGTACAGTCCTGGTGCTGTAAACGATGAGTGAATCTGGATAATACTACCAGAACAGTTAACAATATTAAAATGTACAACACACACCATGACATGATAGAATATATGAAAAACTAACAGATACATTCTCCCATAAAATGTTCAAATGGATTGTGTATAGTTGAGGTGTGAGCTAGCCCTCCAATTATCTTGTGTGTTGTTGGAGGTGAGAAGTGAGTACTAACACTTTCTCCTCTGAATCCTGAGACACTTTCTTTTTCTCTTTTGCTTTATAAACTTCAGTGCTGTTCCCTTATATTCTCTGCACACTGTAGAGCTGTTTTCTGTCATCTGCTCTTTACCTAATTGTCTTCCTCCTCCAACATCTGGAGACTAGTTTGTGTTCTCCTGCTACCTCAGCTTAGGCTCACTTAAACCGTGACGCACTTGACCGCCTGTAGCTTTTGGCAGTGCCTGCTCACGTGGCTGTGGAGGAGGTGTAGGAAGCAGAGAACAACAGGGAGGAGAGCCCTGGCTTTACCTGCATGCTCTGGGTGCTCAGCAGTGTATGCACAACTACAGCTTTCTACTCTCTAGTGCAACTGGTCTCTGCAGTACTCTGACAGCTGGGCTCGTAAGAAAAGCATGGTACCGCGGTCCTTTTCTGTACTTCTAAAGTTACCTACTGTTGTTGAGGGTAGGCTTGGCAAAACTGATGCTAAAGGCTCTACACAGAGCTGATACTCAAGGCAAACTACAAGAAAGAAAAAAAATCTGTGGCCTGGCTTCTGCCCTAGGCAAAATCCTGCTTTCTTTGGGTTTGTCTAATTAAAAAACTGATAAAGAAAGTAGAATTTCCAAAAGTTTGCATTACAGTGGGATGGCGCTGCTTCTCCTGCTCCTGTGCCTGGTCCTTGCCAGAGTGCAGTGGGTCAGAGTGCTACAACCGCGTGACAGGTCTGTCCATGTCATAAAATCAAGCAAGTGCCACACAGTGAATTAAAGGATTTATTTAGAACTCACGTGGTTAATCTCATTGGACTCCTCTAACAGTGTAAAAGAACTGTATCAGCCCTTTGACATAAAAGAGCCCCAGAAGTGGAGTGTGAAGCTTTTTGGACCCTTGGGAAGTGCCAAGGAATAAAAATGGGGACAATATGGAGAAAATGTACTGGGCTGCTACATTCAGTGGTGTTGGGGTGGACTGTTTGATGCTGTTGCTTGCTGTACCTCTCTGCTGTGTTCTGTGCTTATGCAATGCTTTACACCTGTGCTGTAAAGCTGCTTTAAGGTATTTCTTCTGAGTGCTGCTGGTGGACAGAAACAGCTCTAATCAATCCCTGGTTTCTGCCCTTCCAGGTTCTCTGCCAAAAGCTCTGTGATCAGATCCAAGAATGCAGCCTGCCATGTTCTCTAAGTTTCACATTCCTTCATCTTCACTTATCTGCTGTATTTGTTGGGTTTTTATTTCCCTGAATACGGGGAAGTAACCCTTTGTAATTGAATGGTTTGTTCTTCTTTCTAGAATCACAGCAGCTACACATATTCACAGTGCCAGCAGCAGATCCCATGCTATCTTCACCATCCACTACACTCAGGTTAGCTAAAAATAATTCAACTTCCTTTTCACACTCAAAAGCATTGTTCACTGTGTTTACTCGTCATTGTTTTGTGCTGTTTGTAATAATCTCAGTGGAAACTGTTCCTTATTTCCTTTGGATCACTCTGCAGATACGTTACACTTCCTACGTGTGCTGATGTGCTGGGTGTTTACTGAAGTATTCTGTTCCCTTGTGCAAGCTTATAGTCAGAAGTGATGCCAAAGATTCACTTAAAAAAGAAATATTTTCAGTTTTAATCAGCTCTCTGGAATGTAATACCCCTTCCAGAATGCTGTGAAAATTGCATGTGAATATGTTTGAAATTATGTTTTGTCACACTTGCTTAAGGTGCTTAATTGAAGTATACCATTAGTTTAACACCAAAATTTTGTATCTGTCCAGCCTTTTAGATGTCCTTGTATTTTAGCATTTGGCATCCAGTACTCTCTCAGAGACAATGCAGCCTTTCTCTGGAGGAGTTATATCCTTCCCTGGCAGGGAACTCGTTTAGTGATCCAATAGACCTTTTCTATCTCACACTTCTAACATCCTGTAATCACAGAACATTTTGGGATATTTTTCTGTAGTTTCACAAAAGACCTTTGGAATACATTAGTGGAAAATAACTCTGCAAGATCTACAAGAAAGCCTTTCACAGTCACTAGGCAGTAAAGTTTTTTTTCAAGAGGAAATTGGCATTAAGAGGGTAGTTTCTCTGTCCGGTGAGAAAGCTGTTGAGTTAATGGTTTGAACATAGAGATTCAAGGTCACAGAGAAAGGCAGTGAGACAGTCATATGTACAACTCAGTTTCAAACGAGAGAGCACGTCCATTTTATTTTGATTAATTAATTAATTAAGAGGAATGATCTTCTTTATTTTTGTTTTTCTCTCCAGGCTATATTGGAGAACAATCTCCCCTCTGAAATTGCAAGCAAGATCAACTTAGTGGACCTTGCAGGCAGGTAATAATATATTGAGGGGCAAAGAGGTAATTTTTTTTTCATGTTCCAAAAGTTTCTAAGTCTCTAATCTTAGCTATGCATTTCAGTGAGGAACGTGTGGTTGTGCTGGATGTGACAGTGAACAGAAAAAAGGGAGTTGTGCTGAAGAGTTTTAGAACAGGACTTCTTTTTTTCCTCAAGAATGTGAACTGCCATGCATGTATTAACAGAGAAAGTAGAATTGAGGTGACTTTTGTACTGAGCCAGTGTACCCTTGCAGAGTTGTGAAATTATGTGGTTTTTGTTAAATTCAGAACTGCTATGATTGGGTTGCCCAGTTCAGACTTGAGTTTATGTTTTTGGTGGGTCTTTAACAGAATCTTGCACCAATAGCCTTTGTTTATGGTTGTTTGGACTTTCTGAAATAGAGGCCAGTATGAAGTATTCAAAGAAGATGGGTTTTTAATTGCAAAACTCATAATTTCCGTTTTCTTGTATTTCTTGAAAGTACATAATGTTTCCATATTGTCTGCATATTCATAATTAAGCATTTTTGTTTATTTTGCATGGTCTTTTTCATGCTTGCATGCTACAGTGAAAGAGCGGATCCCAGTTACTGTAAAGATAGAATTACTGAAGGTGCCAATATTAACAAGTCATTAGTGACACTTGGAATCGTCATATCCACTTTAGGTAAGCCCATCAGTTCTTTATATTGAAGGGTAGTGATAAAAGCATATGACTCACCACCTGTTGCGCCTTAATGCTTATTTGCATTTAAAATAAAAAACTGAACAGAGCAGCTGTGGTGTCTTCATAAACTGTCATGACATGTAAGAAAATTACATAGCCATGGCAGAAAAAAAAATAACCCCTTTCCTGAGTTCTGTGGTATTTCTCCTTCAGCACAAAATTCGCAGATGTTCAGCAGCTGCCAGAGCATTAACACCATAGCAAGCGAAGGGGAGAGCAGTCATGCAGACAGTCCTTCCCCGGGCAGCGTCAGTGGGACCAGGCGGCCGGCTTACATCCCATACCGTGACTCCATCCTCACCTGGCTTCTGAAGGACAGTCTGGGGGGCAACTCCAAAACCATTATGATTGCCAGTGAGTTTGGTTTCTGTTAATTGTTAACATCACTACATTGCACCTTTAATATACACCTCTACTGCAGTGAGAAGACAGCTGTATCACTTAGAATCTGTCCTTGTAAAGATTTTCATAAATACTTCATAGAATACTCCAGGAAATAAAAAGGCAGCTGATTATGCATGAAGTTAAGTTTAAGAATTTCCAAGGTCATAGCTTTGATTTTAAATGTTCATTCAGTTATAAATACAACCTTTAGAAGACATTCTCTATGAGTTTAATGAAATTATCCTAAGGATATTTTCTGGTTTGTTTTTAAAGAAGCAAGACTAAAAAAAATATGCTGTTTTTAAAAATTACGGGTTAAACTGATTACTTGGTAAAACTGTGTTTCTTTTCTAATTGTTTTCTGCCTGTAGCTATCTCCCCTGCCAGCTCCAGCTACAATGAGACCATGAGTACCTTGAGATACGCTTCAAATGCCAAAAATATTATTAACAAGCCCAGAGTGAATGAGGTGAGGCCTTGAGTTCTGCTTTTCATTTTTGTCCCATTTTGTCACATGTGTTGTTTAAGGTTTATTCAGAATATCTGCTCTATGAATAAAACTCTTACTTCTTTTTTTGTCCAAGTTAATGAGAGCTAAATAAGAGCCTGGATACTACAGAAATAATTTCCTTGATTCCCTGAAGTTTAAACCATTTAAAATTTCACACCTATATTACATTCTTCATCTCTGTCTGTTGAGCTTCAATCATCTTTCTCTTTGAATTGGTATGACATGTATGTTTAATCTGTGTCTTTATCATAAATATCAGTAGAGTTACAGATATGTTAGGACTACTTGTTATTATTTAATCTGTTACTGTAAGTGCATAACCCTTGCAACCCTTCCTTTGGCAAGTTAAATGAACACTGCTAAGGTTGCCGTCAAGAATTCAGAAGTGAATATACCAGGCCTGAGGTAGCCTATGTAGTCTCCATTTGTCTTCTTTTTCATACATAAAAATAATGAAGCCTTTAAACACATGGGAACAATCATGACCACAGAACCCACAACTTCATTCATTGCACAAAACAGGCCTGTTCCAGAAATGAACTCTGACTGTATGGCAGATCCATCTGTTCGACTATGCAGGGGTCTTTCGCAGGCTGCACAAGTTAAAAGATGGCAGGCTATTGAGGGGAGAGTCAGGTGCTGCATTCAAGGACTGAATTCTGTTGCTAACCCTTGTTCAATGCTAGTCCAGATGCTTAAAGCAAACCTTCAATGTGTGCTTTTTTCTCATTTTCCACCCTTACCACTAGTACACATTTATTAAATGTGAAAACTTAAACTCTCCCAATCAAAGACATGATATTAGAACAAATTGATTAGTAGTTGTGGAGGTTGTACAAACTTACAGTGGTAAGAACCAGCATTAAAAGTAATCCATGGGGAAATGCATAATTCTGTCTGTCTTCATAGCAAAATTCAAATAGCACATAGTAAGCAAGATCTACAATCACATATGCTAGAAATATAAAACTCTTGAATTGCTACTCCCTAACTGAGTGTTCTTCACCTGACCTTCTGCATGAGGCTGCCTTTACATGTGAGCAAATAAATTAAGGTCTGAATCACAGCCTATTCATCTAAGGGGTATCCACTGAATTTAGGTTTCAAAAAAAATCCTGATTCCAGCATTTCCTAATCTTTAAGTCATTGGCTTTACAGCTTTAGTAGTATTATTTTGTGATTCGGTCTGAGTGTATCCAGATTTCTTCTGCAGATAGAAGCATAGAGTGTTAGAGATATGTACTTCACTTCCTTGCTTTCCTAACAGTACTCTGTTAAATATGGGCAGAATTAAACCCTTCTAATCCAAGGTTTCCCAAATTTAATTTGCATCTATATTACCAATGCCTTCTGACATCACTAGTGGCAGAAATAGTGTGCTTGGTTTTGTCACCAGCAGTTCTCAATTCTGTGACAGGCTAAAGGCAAGTAAACACTCCTGGAAAAACCTCTTGTCACATACAAGCCTCTCAGCCTCCCAGCTCATGTGCCCATCTCTCTCTTCAGCTCCTCAGTCTTCTTCCCTCCACTGCAAATTGACATGAGCTGAAGTGTCACTGTCAGCCTGGAGAAAATTGATTCTTGACTCAAGAGTTTCCCTGAACTGTCTAAAAAGCTAGTTTCCAGAAAATGCCAGTGCAGAGGTGCTTACTCTGAAAGTGAGATAAATGCCTCCACACAAGCAGGCAGGAAATTCTTTCTCTATCAGCTGCAAGAGCTTTTAATACCATGCTTGGTGACATCCTGACTTAGTCTCCTTTAGTCTGATCTTATATATCAGCATTAAATAATAGCATTTTTCTGACCTAATGTAACAATTTTGAAGGTAAATCCTTAAAAGTAGTGATGTATCCAGCTAGTCATAATGGGAACAAATGCTATGGTAGGTCTGTGTTCAGAAGAGAGATGGAGCAAAGTTTATGGGGAAAGAGAAGCTATTGAATATGGGAACCACCTGCCCCTAGGCAGTACATCCAAGGGACAGTGTGTCCCACGCTGGCAGAGTGAAACAAGGAGGATTGCTGCGAGTTTGCCTATTCTCCTGTTCTCCTGGCTGTTTGAATATTTCTGTGTTGACTTCTTTAGCTGGATTTTTTTAAAGAATGTTTTTTTTTCAGTGGTCTGTGTCTCAATGTTTCAGGATGCAAACGTGAAACTGATCAGAGAACTGAGAGAGGAAATTGACCGGTTGAAAACTATGCTGATGAGCTTTGAACTGGTATGTAGCAACTCTTCCCCGCTGGAGCTTTTGTGTTGCTTTAGGTAGCTACAGTTGCTTACCTTCATCTGATCTGTGTATCTTTGCATGTTTATTGTAAGTGGAGGGAAATTAAAATGTTATCTGGTGATACTGCAATTATTATAAGGTTAACTACATTTCTATAATTTCTCCGTTTTCTGTCATTATATTGGTCAACCTGAAGTATAAGCAGAGTTCAAAAGGATTTCTTTGTCTCTCATGGTGTTGGATGGTTTTCCTGTCCAAAAATACCGTGAAATAGAAGTATTTTATTTTTAAGGATATGGAAACACCAAAACAGTACAAAATATTAATCATTGATGTAATTTTCCTGGTAGACTTGTAAACTAGTGACCTCAAAAGTATCTTGGAGCTTCCACCCTACCTGAATGTTCTGTCCCCCAAAAGAACTTGCAAACATTTGTGAGCCCTCACAATACAGATTACATCCCTGGTGTTTTTCTCCTTTTGACTAATAATAGTGTCTTGGTTTTCCAAGCCATAGAGAGAGTGTTTTGTTGGGAGAGACAGGAACTACACTCCAGGATTTATTTACACAAAAGTATCTCTCTGTTACTGCTTTTTCACCAGTTCTTTGCCCCAAAAAATTGCATATAATAGCTAGACATGTAGGCTAGATGCTAGAAGAGACCATGTATATTTTGTCTTTCCTTTTCCTGAGTTCATCACCTTGAAATGCTGGAAAGTGAATTAATATGCCTGCCAGTTGTGAATAAGGAAACTAACATGTAGATCTTGGTGGCTGTTGTTTATACAGAGGAATTCCAGTCCATCTTGGAGTGATGACAGGGATGGAAATCTGACTGAGCTGGTCCTTCAGAATGAAATGAAGGTGTGTACAATTTACTTGATGCTGTAACTAAATCCTGTTTCGCTAGGCCGGGGGGATAACACTGCTGTACTTCTGAAACCACAGTGAAAATGTTTTTGTCTTAATCTTTTTCTTTTTTACTCTGAAGATGCAGGAAACTGACACCCTACTCCATGTTGAGTGCACTCTACCAATTTGTGATGAAAGTCTTGTGTCCTTAATGGGACATAGTCCATTGTGTGTCACTAAGTCTGCACAATCTACTTCTTGTTTGAAAGCTGTCTCAATACACCACAGCAATTCATTATACAGAGTCTGTCCCTTCTAAGACTAAACTCCTCCAATTTATTCAAATGAAATTATTGTGCACTCACTAAAATTACTAAAAAGATTTGGTCACTGGTAACCAGGAAAGGTTTTGGAGACCTTAAGTGTAAGTTTTGCTCAAAGACAGGCAATATAACTTGTTAGCATGATCACACCTCTTTCTGACATTCTGGGAACGAGTCTCCAACAGATTAAACCGGTTTCACTTGGTGGTAGTAAAGTTTTGACTCAATTTTTTTGTTGCCACAGAAATGTGCTGCAATTAGAAATACACCTGGTTTATTTCTAATTGCCACTGGTGAAAGAATTTTGCATCCAGTAACTGGAAAAAATACTGGTCTTTCTGAAGAAATTTACATATGAGAAAAATTATTGTGTTAGTAAGTGAAACAGTTTTCTTTTCTATTCTTTAAGATTGAGCAATTGACCAAAGACTGGACAAGTAAGTGGACAGACAGGAAAGCCATCATGGAAGAGTACAGTGTGGACATCAACAAAGAAAAAGCTGGAGTAACAATAGATTCTAGTTTACCTCATCTAATGGCCATGGATGATGATATCCTCAGTACAGGAGTGGTGCTGTATCATCTCAGGGTGAGATATTGTCACTTGTCTTATTTTACTCTTTAATTTGAAAACATTTGTTTTCTTTGGAAATGGAGAGTGGTTAGGGTGGCATTACAACAGCAGCTATCAAAAAGTGAAAGTCACAGATCACAAGACATATAATGGGGGAAAAGGGCAGAAAATACATGGAAATGGAGAAGGAGAAGAATTCATATATAAGCTGACCCTATATTCATATATGGATATAAGTTGACCTCTTATGAATGCATGTGCAAAAAATTTGATAATGTATCATAAGCAAAGTAAAATACTCAAATTCTGCATTAGTAGTTTGTCCAGAAAGCATGTATGTGTAAACATAAAGGATGGTGCCTAAAGTATACCAGACATACTGGTCCACATTTTATGAAATATTTGTATACTTCAAACTGGAGCAGTCTTTATAGATAAAAGTAAGCTTTAATAAACACAAGCATACTTTGCCAGTGACTTCTACATATTGCTTTTAGCCCCACTAGGTCTGCCAGGTAGATTCCAGATGTGTAGCATGAAGGTTAATTCCTTGTGATCCTACTTGAGTAGCTATTTTTGAAGATCAGGTAGAAATCCCGGCCTCAAAGATACTATTTTGCTTTGTAGCTGCTCATTTAAGGCAAGGTTGTGGCCAGGAAACTTTCATAACATTGTATGTATTTTACTGCACATTGTGGCATTCAGGTCAAATAGTTTTAGGGGATTTTTTTTATTTTAGTAAGTCAGTACTAAACTGTAGTTTAACTTTTTAATGTTGTTTAAATGAATGGAAATTACTGAAATATTCATGCTCTTTAAAGTGAAAGGAATGATGGATGGGCACCTCTACAGAGATGCACTCATTGCCAAAACGTGTTAAATATGTTTGAAAATCATGTATCTGTCTACCAATAAAAATCTTTACCCAAAAACTAGGTTTTGTGGTAATAGATATAGTTTAGGACAGAGGATTTTTTTTTAATTCCTCTTAAAAATTACAACAAATATTTAAAACAGAAATCATACTGCTCTTTTACCATGTTGAAAGACAAACTTGAATAATTTTTCTCATGCCAGCACAAAGAAATTGTACCAGGTAATAATTAGGGACCAAGTAATGATGTCCAGTGCTGATCAACATGCAACTTCAACTACTCAACCCTACATTAACATTAAATATTTATTAGAAGCAATTGCTACTTCTTAAATATTTGAATGTTATGTGCCATTTTGGAAACAGCAAATATTTTCCCATACTAATGTTGACAACAACTAAAGTAACTTAAATATATTCATTTTAACAGAGTAAACTGGTTTGAAGGATCACCTTCTGAAGTCATTCATGTCTCTGTTACACTAACATCTTTGTCCCTTCTTTCTTTGCTCCTAGATGCTGCCTTTTCTTTTCTTTGTGCTTTACATCTTTTAGTCTCTGGTGTCTGTTACCTTCATCTGAACAGCAAGAAGGTAAAACGTTAGCAGTTCCTTACATAATAAGGCTTAAACATATAATAGCACTTTACATTTTAATTCTAGAGAGGTCATGGCAGCAGCTTTCAGATCATGTAGAATAAATGTTGTGTTACTCTTTTAGTCTCTTGATATTCCATAATATTAATTGCACTAATCAATGCTGTGCCTATGCTTAATTTTCTGGCTTTCATTAATAGAAGATATATGTTTTCCTATAAATTAACTGACCTTTTTTGCAACGCTTAAAAATATGGGATTTCTTTATACTGTTTTAGTAAAAGATGTACTTCATAAAATTTTTGAAAGTTGTAGTACTCCCAAAAGTGAAGGGGGAAAGCAACCTCAGTCTTTATGATTCTGCAATATACCTTGGGAATTCCACCTTTAGTCATGAGGTACAGCCAGAAGAAGGTAACAATATAAAAGCACTTCAACAGAAGTAAAGATGTATGATGACATGTTAGGGTCACGTTGTGCAGTCATTTCATCTGAAACGTCTTTCACGTTTTCAGGTAGAATACTCAATATTCAATCAGAAAAGAGTCTAAATATTGAAATTATTAGCTCAATAATAGCATTTTAAACAATGAAATCAAATCAGCTGGGTTTATGGCTATTTTTCTTTTGTTTTCTCAAGTTGGGTAAGTTTGCTTGTATTGTATCTGTACCCTTGCTCTCACCTGCAATTTATGGTTGGTTTTAAACTCACCCAGAATCACTCCAACCAACTGGGATACTCTTGTGAATTTCATGAGCCAATACTGCTGTAATACACTTTTTTGAATTAAATTGTATTACCAGAGAGTTATTTCAGCACAGTGGAAAAAGTTTCTTTTGGAATTACAATAACTATTTCCTTGCTTAGTGAAGAAGATAATTGATAAAGAAATCTTTTAGGAGTTGATTTACCTCTCTCTGTGTAAAATACATGTTGCTAACTCACTTGGTTGAGTGAGGTGAGTCAAAGACCATATGGATCATAAGTTTCCTGGAAGTTGTGGCCAACCCAGATGGACATTTTGCAGTTGAGTCCATCGTGGCTAGGCTTCACGAACGAAGATTTGAGAAGGGCTCTACCCACGCTTGCTGCAAGTGCACTGATGGCTAAAAATGCCAACGTGAGATAGACAAGTTCGGTTGCAAAAGGAACAGCAGAAAAACTCCTTAGGCGGTATCGGCAACACACGGTTCTTTCTGCGTTGTCTTTTCTCTTCAAGAACGATTCTACGTGTGTTCTTAAAAGAAGCAGCAGCATTCTTTTCTACAAACAGTAAGTTTCACTATAAAAGTTCAATGCATCAGGATGTGTGTTCATGTTTAAAATATTTGTCTAAAGTACAGTCCCAAAGTCATCCATTAGGGGTTACTTCATCTCCTGGACTCATAGAAGCTGACATAGCTGCAGAATGAGAAGCGATTACAACACTAGGGGGGACAGCAGGCTGACGTATTATGAAGTACATAGCATTTGCTTCAAACAATGCAGTCATTGAGAGGCAATTTATTTCAGGCGTTTGCTAAGATGAGGTACCAAAGCTTTTTTAATTACTATATATAATCCACTTTCCTCAACCAACTTTTAAATTAGTTCTTTTCTTGTTTTAGGAAGGAACAACCAAAATTGGAAGAAGTGATTCAGACCAAGATCAAGACATTGGTAAGAGAATGATATTATAAATTATTTTATGATAGGGTCAGGTCTAACCAAGAGGTTTGCATTTGTCATGTGTAATAGCTAGGTAATGTTTGTCAGCTTTCTTTGTAGAAGAAGGTAAATAGAAGAAACTAATTATGTAAGTTGGCCAAAATATGTTGATTATTTTTTGTTTAAGAGTCTGAAAAGTCAGTGGTCTTGACGTGATTGAGATCTCTTTAGAATTTTCTTCCCACTTGTGAAATGCTACACTAGACTTTAAAGATATCTTCATTTAATATGCAAATCCTCATACATTCTATCCTAAACTAGAGGCACAAGTGATCATGAGACATTGAAAATGCTTTTCAACTCTTCTTGGACAGAGTGTTTTAGGTACAAAATCCAAATTATTCAGAATATCTTTTGTTTAACTTAATTTCTGCTTTTAGTTTTAGCAGTCAGCCTCAAGAGCTAGATAATATGATAGAGAACTGAAACTGGAAACTTGAAAAATCTCAGCTTTGGTTAGGTTCTGATAAGCTTGATTAAGTTTGATTATTTTCTTCCAGAAGATTAGTAAAATATAAACAATAAATTCTGTAATGGTTTAAGAAAATTCAGCACAATAGAAGAATTTGCACATCAGCTCACAAATCAGAAAGTGATGTATAGTTTTCCAGGACCAGAGATAAAGAAATGATCTCACTATTTTCAATAATGAGTTTCAACAATAAGTTTTTTCTGTGACCAAGTACTTGACCAGCAGTCAAAGACGGCAATTTAATCTCCTTGTTCTGCACATGATGTAGTTCTCTGTGAGGTGTGCATAGTGTTGAAGCGTGTGGTAGTCTATTCCGAGGAAAATAACCCAACCCCTTCAACAGGTGAGATAAATCTATACACTCTAGTTTTGCAGGGACAGTGGATTGAAAGGAATCATTGTATGATAGACAACAATTGTGGGATCGTGACCCTGCGAGCAGTTCCAGGCGCTCACTGCTCTGTGAATGGATGTGAAGTCACTGGATCATGTCGCCTGTCACAAGGTGAGGTTTGGGTTTTTTCTGTGAATGCTGTGTTATAATTAACTTACCACTGGAGTTCACAGATAAGGATTTATGGAATTTGAGCAGATCTGAGAAAGTTATCTCAGTCTCCTTCTGCTGCCCAGTTCCACAAGGTTTGATCCATGGCCAGAACTTCCAAACTAGAACAAATAAATTAACTGCCCCACAGAAATAAAATTAATTAAGACATTGGTGACAACATTCTGACTCCTTTTGGCAATAGTAATCTGCAGCCTTCTGAGAAGGGAAGACTTGTATTCAGAGGCACTATTGTGCAAAGTAGTGGAGACTGGCTCTAAGCCAACTGACCACTGAAGGGGTTTTTTGACAATTATATAACACGGTTGAAATGATCTCCAGCTTTTTCACAGTGTGTTTAGGTGGAGGCTACAAGCCGCTAAGTCATAGGCAGTGATGAATGAATTCAGATTAAATGGATCGGGCTGCCATATTTTTAGGTTGTTTAAAATAACAATTCAGCATCTGTGAACTTGTGGTAATCTAGATACTTAAAAAGATAGTGTAAAAACAAGTCTTCAGCAGTGGGTTGGTTAAGTTTTTGGTATGAAGTCATGCTGGCCTTTAATATGAACAGGGAATTTATGGTTATGTTTGGTTTGCAGAGATATCCAAGACTAGTTTGCTTGGATGCTGTCATTACAGAATGTTAATTCTGCCATTCTGTAGTGGCAAATTTTAAAATGGTTCTCTGTTCTGTAATGGTCAGAAAACTGTTGGTCAGAATTCAATTTTTTAACATATTATTCTGTACTAGTTTGATGAATTGTCTAAGTGTCAATTTTTTTTTCTTTTTTTTCACAACAAGGGGCCCTTGTTGTCCTTGGCAAGTCTCACAAGTTCAGATTCAATCACCCAGCAGAAGCTGCTATCTTAAGACAAAGAAGATCAGTAAGTTCTACAACTGTATTTTTCTCTCCTAATTTTTCATTTATTTTTCTGGGTTTTTTTCTTCTTAAAAGCCAACCTGATGAAGATAGTATTTCTTCTTGTCATCATATTCACTTGCTTCATTTCCTCCATCTAATGGTCTGTAATGACATTAAACCTTTTGTGGGAGGACAGTAGCACTTCTTTCAGATGTGCTTAGCAAAAGATGATGCAGATCCCTTGAATTATTTAGTGTTTCCTATTTCTAGTCATGACTACAGTAGGATTGAAACAAAAAGGCAGAATGCTGCAGCGGAAAGACTGGTTAACAATCTTTCCACATCTGATAATTTTCGGAATCATCTTCTTTCTCTGTCATTTCACTGTCTTGAATGAGATATACTAGAAGAAATGACAATTTATAGGATTATGTACTAAGGTATTACTGACTCTGGAAGCACTTAACTTTTGCGTACATCAGAAATAGATAAAATATTTCTTGGTATGTTAAGCTCAGGAACTAACTACTGTAAGATATTTGGTTAGCTAGTTCAATAATATTTAAAAAATGAGATAATTCTTAAAATTACTGGCAGATGTAACTACAAAACCTAATTTAAAGAATATAAATTTTCTGGTTTAGGAGTTAATCATATTATCAACTGATATTGGCAAGAATCCAATTTTCATGTAGTAACATTTATACTTTCCATTTAACTCTCCCTTTGTACTCACTTCTGTAGTTGAGATAAGGGGCTTAGCTTTTTTTTGTTTTCATTCTTAATTTCTTGATTAGTGAAACATGCAGTACATTAAAATAGAGCTGCAAAAAGAGATATACTTAGTAACAAATACTTAGTAATTTTGCTAATTATCAAAGACTAAGCAGAAGTGTGAGATTATAAACTCATGTGGGAGCTATTATGCAGCATTGCACATAGTAGTTAACAACAGCAGTATTAATGATAACTTGAAAGTTCCTGTGTTGCTGTGATTTATTTGTCTTCCTGTCTCATGTGTTTTGTAGATTAATGAAACCCCACCCACTCTGAGTTGTGGAGCTTTGGACTGGCTCAACTTAGATGGAAGCTGCACCAATTCTCCACATTATGTCCTTTCTTCTCTTTACAAGTAAGTTTAAAACTAAGAAAAAACAACCGAAGAAACAACTGCTCTTGCAGGATTATGTCTGAAACCAGAGACTTGGCTAGGCAAAAAGAAAACTACATATAGAATAAATCCCATCACGTTGTTAAGTTATCAAACAAAAATGTCTGAGAAAATCCACTGGCCAACTAACTAAAATAGAGCATTAAAATACCCAAGCAACAAACCTGAAAACAATTTATTGATGCACAATTAAGAAAACGCCTCAGATGAGATGTCAGACAACCTTAATTCAGTTCCCTTGAACATCAGCATTATAACTGTTTTGATTTACAGCTAATCTATAATTTTTACAATATTCTTACTTCAGTGCACAGAATGGACTATTCAGGATATGATTTAGCCAAGTTAATTATTACTAATTCACTTTCCCTGCTAATTTGTTGTGGAAATCAGGTTTGTTTGTCCATAAATTCCCTTTAGTTCAAGTCCTCATTGAGCCCTTCATCTCAGAAAGCCAATGTCATTCCCTCTTCTTTTTAAAAACTGAAGATTACATAAGGCATATACTGCTTTCAGAATGTTGAAGGGCTGCCCATACTCAGTGTTCAGTGTATGCTTTTATGGCAGAACCTTTGTGAAATGGAAAGGATTGATGTGATGAAGACAGTAATTAATATGTATCAAAAAATTAATCGAAATATCTTCTGGTTTAGTTCACAGCATTGAAATTAGAATATTACAGAATTAAATGTAATTGGATTCTTTCTCTTTTTTAATTCTTCTCAGCCTGGCACATTCAATTGACCTGTCAAAGGCAAGAAACAGCCATCTTCTCATTCATATCTGTTGATAGTACTGCTTCTTGCTAGAGTTGTTTTGGTGTGGTAACATACTGAGAGTCTTTTATCTTTTTCTAGAGGAAGTATCTCATCTCATTTTTATGAGCATAAAATGTTATCTCTATTAAGAACATCTCTTCATAGTTCTAGTCAAATGGTTTCTTTCCACCTTGGATAGTGTGTGTTTTTATGTGTTCTCTTTAATGCATCTAATCTCTGCATTTGCTTTTAATTTGCTGCAGTGATACCTGTCTATAAAAAATGTTATTTCATTTTGCTTCTTTACTGATGAACATTTTACACATCATTTCTATTATTTTCTTTGGAAAAATTACAAAGAATTTTAAAAATAAGGGTTTGCCTAATAACCTTCAAAAGTAGATACCAGGGTGCTCTTTACATGGGTATAAACATCAGATGTGGAGCTTTTGTCACAGAAGTTTTGTGATGATCCTAGAAAAACCTGCAGAAATCCAGAAGCATTGTGAACAGTTTATCACAAATTTGCACTTGGTTTCCCCCTTTTTGACCTGACAAAACTGCCGAACATTTCTGATTGATTTTTTTTTCTAGACCATGTTGAGATAGCAGATTTGTTTGTGTTGATCTATTTTTTAATCACTTGGACAAGATATTGCAAGCATATTAAATTGTTTAGCATTACTCTCATGTTTAACTAGAGTGTTTAAAATGGTTACTTCAGTGAAAATGAAAAACATTATGGCATTGCATTTGCTTGATTTTTATGGATGTCCATCTCTTACAGGAATAAGCTATCAACTATGTCTAATAATACTTGTTTCTCACCTTACATAATCCAGTGGTTTGGTTTTTTCCTCTTGAATAGTTATTTGGCATGTTATAGGTAAACTGAATTGATCTGCTGAGGCTTCCTTTACAGTAACCACTGAGTCTGTGTTTCTGTACAGACAAGTAGTTTTGCTCATGGAGAGCATTGTGATTGAGACATTTAGCCCAAGATCTATATTATAAGAATAAAACTATATATATGATCTCTCAAATGTCCCACTTTCATGAAGAAAAGTCAATGTCAAGTACTTAAAGGTGTTGTCATGGTTTAACATCAGAGAGCAGCCAAACCCCCCACAGCTGCTTGTCACTCACTCACCCCTCCAGTGGGACTGGGGAGAGAACTGGAAGGGTAAGAGAAACTCATGGGTTGAGATAAAGATGGTTTAATAGGGAAAGCAAAAGCCACATAGGCAAGCAAAGCAAAAAAAGGAATTAATTCACTGCTTCCCATGGGCAGGCAGGTGTTCAGCCATCTCCAGGAGAGCAGGGCCCCAACACATGGAATGGTTACTTGGGAAGACAAACACTGTCACTCCAAACATCTTCCCCCTTCTTCCTTCTGCCCCCAACTTTATATACTGAGTATGATGTCATATGGTATAGAGTATCCCTTTGGTCAGTTTAGGTCACCTATCCCCGTTGTGTCTCCTCCCAGCCTTCCATGCATCCCCAACTTTCTTGCCCGAGTGGCAGTACAAAAAGCAGAAAAGGCCTTGTCCCTGTGTGAGTGCTGCTCAGCAACAACAACAACATCTCATTCAGCACAATTCCAAAACACAGCCCCATACTAGCCCCTGTGAAGAGACGTTACCTCAGCCAAAACCAGTCACAGGTTTGTCTGAGGTATTTTGTAAACTGTAACACAGGACTAAGTGGACCACGAAAGTGCTTATTTGCTTACCAGTGAAAATGGTAATTTTCACCCTAATGCAGGGTCCTGTCTCTGTCAGAAAGAGGAAATGTGAGACCAGGGAAAGTTCTCTGTGCGTGTGTGTCTTTCTCTTTTTCTCTGTCTCCCCTCTCATTTAATAGTTCTTGATGTTCTCCCAACTGCTAGCAACCTGCATCTTTGTGTATAGTAGGCTTCAGTGAAGTTTTTTTGACTTTTTCTAAAAAATATTTATGATTTCTTGTTTTTACTTTTACAGTCAAAAATGTAGAAACTGTAAAGAAAACAAATGTTCTCCTGAACTAAGGTAAGAATATTAATGTGTCTAAATCATGCTGAAATTTGTGACCATTTTAGTTTTATCAATCTCTGTGCTGTACTGATTTCCTCTGGAAGAGCTGGAAACTAGACTTCAAACTAATTTTCAAAATATTTTATCATATTGCAACAAAGTAAACTTCAGGCTTTAATTCAAATTATTTTATTAAATTGAAACAAGAATGTATGTGCAGCTGTGTTATAGGCAAGTCTCTGCAACCATGTTCTTTCTTAATTCTAGATTTTGTGCAAATGGTTTGTATCTTTGTTGCATGTGTAACCTGCATTTAAAAGCATGACTAAAGCGGGGTTTACTCTCAACCTGCTGCTAATTTTCAGCGTATTAGACTCCTAAATATACTAAATTTTATGTCAATAGTAGGTACTGTAAATACTCATTACTATATTGACAATTCCTTGGACAAATTGGGTTCTCTTCTGCTGAGAATAAAATGGCTTAAGGGAAGAGTAAAAAAAGAATAATTCTGAGCATAGAATATGGTTCGTTCATGCAAAGAAGCACAGAAACTGCACATAGAGATAATTCAGAAATTTTTTGGTTTCCATGGGTTTAAGTGTTCTTTTTCACCAAGAACTGATAGTACTTTGCTTAATTCTGGATTTTTATTTCAGAACATATCAACATATACATTACAGTAATGATTACTTAATGATAAGGGTCCTACCTCCCATGCTGCCAGTATGACAATATTTTTCTCATCTGCTTTTCATGAGTTGAATTACCAGTTCAACCTTTAATTGTATGTTAGAATATTTTGAGAAATGAGAGAGAAAAAATTTCTACCATTGCACACAAATATTAAAACTTTAGGCATGAAAATTTCCTTGAAAAGGGGTGTGACTCATTTTACTCTTGGTTGCTTCCTCACACACCCTGCTCAGAAAAGCCCCAGCACTTCAAATTTCTGATGTCTGCTGTCAGGCAGCAAACACACAGAAGGCTTCTGAATGGCATCAGTCCTCAAATTATAGTGTCACCACAAATAAGTCAATAATAAAGTCTTGTTCCTGTCATTGCCTTAACACTATACGGCCTATAAATATAAACTCTGATTTTATTGTCTTGCTGGTTTGAAAAAAATCCACCAAAAAAAACCAACAGTGGTGTTGCTCCATTAGAGTCAAGTGGTATGGCAGCACACTGTCTTAATTTTATCTGTTTGGAACATGTTTAAAATCCCTTTCCTTAAAAATACCAACATTGTTAAACTGAGAGAAAAAAATATCTGATATGGCATAACACAACACAGTTATTATTCTAATGTGGTATAGTTAACATGTCCAACTAATATTTTAAAAAATATTTTTACTCTGAGTTCTCACTAACAGCTTTCATCTGAGAATTTCAAAGTGCTCTACAAAAAAAAAGAAATAAAAAAATTTAGAAATCTTTTGCATCTCTTAAAAGATCCCTCAAATATCCCATTTCACAGAGAAAGTACACTGTGTCAATTACAGAAACTCTACAACTTACAGCAGAATCACTTATGGTGGGTTAGCATGGGAACTAATTCTATATATAACTGAAATTGTGAAGGGAAAACCTCTGTTAACTGAACTGGAATTGAGCAAGAAAGGAGTAACCTTTACTGGAGTGTGTGGCTGTGTCTTGTACCTCTGACTCTTTGCCAGAAAGGTTCATTTTTAGAGATGGATTTAAAGGGATGCCTTTAATAAGTCATTAGCTTACTGTTGTTTTGGGGGCTTAGGCAAAGAAAAAGAGGTTTTGCATGGAAAGGCTAAAAAACACACATAAAAAAAGCACAGATGTGCTTTTTCTGTAAGCAAGCCAGCTAAGCAGAAATCCAAATGATACTTCACATGATGGTAACTTCCGTGGAGGGAATTAATCTGCATGTACATTTCCAAAGATCCCTTATTTCTGAAGGTCTCTGACTCAGAAATCAGCCAGAATGGCCATCAGACTCCCACCTCCTGCCCACCAACACCCAACTTTTGCTTTGAATTCTGTGGGTGTCATTCCTGCAGAATACAAGGTATTCATATCTTCTTTATTCCTCTTCCCTTTGCTTTATGGAGGAGAAGGGAGAGGTTTGGGCCTCTGTGCTAGGCAGAAGCAGATGTATGATCCTGTGCAGCTGCGTGGTGCCTGCTGCTGCGTGATGCTCTGAGGCCCTGTGGGAAGTGCCCCGGATTGGACACGGGTGTAGGGGGAGGATAGAGCAGGAGGGGTGGGGGGAGTTGTGTGGATGTATATTAGTGGATAGGCTTTTAACTCTGACTTGTGATTGCTCTCAGTGTGGGATTTGCAGGGTGCAAAATGCCTTGCCGGCATCTTTTTTTCTCTTTTATTTTTGACTCTCCTTCTCCTGGAAAAAAGCTTTTGTAAAATGAAAAAAAATGGGATTTGAACACTAGGCAGCCAGAAAGATGGGGATGCTAACTTGACTGATGTTTTCTTTTGAAAAACTGGCACATTTCAGCTTTTACCGACAGTGATTATTTTCACTGGAGTTTCTGTATTTGAGCCTTAAGATTTTGTTGCAGCAGGTATTCAGCTCCACCACAGAGCTATTGCTGCCATAGTTACTGGAAACTGCATTATGCTGTAGCAGCCGCCAGCCTCTGCATCAGCAGTAGAAGTGTTTGGGGAAGAGGGGAGGAGAATTGCACAATAGGATCCCACAGAGCTGACAACAAAACCGGCTGAAAAAAAAAGTGGATTTACAGATGGTTCATTTAGCATGCAACGTGCAAACTTTGTCGAGAGAAAAATGAGATGGAAAAACGCCGGCAGAATCGGTATAATATGAAAATTTTCTCAGTGATTTGTGATTAGTTTAAGGTTGGTGTCTTTTTGTTGCAATTTTACTTGCTGTTTTCAAAGGTTTACTTGGAGGAGGGGTGACTGTTGACGCTTCTTGCTGTATTCGGTACACCTAGAAATCTGCATGCTTTTATGACATTCTCTGCAGGGCTTTTTTTTATATGCTGTATGCCAGAGTATGCTGGTCCTGTGAAACCAAGATTTTATGTATATCTTGATACCTACAGAAATCAAGCTGTTTCTCTTATGTTTGTCCTGAGGTTATATTAATTCCTGCTAGAACTATATGGAGTGTAGATTGCTTACAAGGAAAAGAAGGAATATGAGCAATAGCAGTCTGTGCTTGATTCCTGTATCTCATATTATTTCAGTAGTTCAAGTCTAAATTTAACAGTACATCTTATTTCAGATTAAAGAAACAAGTAATCTCATCTACCTATTACAAAATTGGGCTAAATTCTTATGTTATTGTATTGATATTTGGTTTTAGTTTAATCATTCAAACTTATACTATAAAAACTGAGTGTTCTTTGAATTGTATATTAGGTGATTTAGTTACAAAGGGTGTGTGAATCTGTTATTTTCTTTCTGGGCCATTGTCATCTCATTTTTTAGTTTAGTCTGTCATGTTATTTCCAAAACCAGCAAGAGTGTGTTGACATGACATAGCATGTTCAACGGTAGAAAAGGAGCATTCTGACTTTATGTGCTTGGTTTCAGCAGTTTCTGTGAGAGATAGATCTGTATCCCAAACCAGACAGTCATTTTGCTCTCACAGTCACTAGTCTCACAGCCAGAGGGAAAGCATCTTCTGGCAAAAATGTATTATGTAAGTGGCTCTGCATGAATTTTTGTTTTCTTTTTGTTCCATTTGAGAAAACTGTCTTTAAGAAGCAGCTTCCAAAAAAAGAGTGTTTAATGTGCAATCTGTATATTCACACCTGTCTTTACTGCCCTGCCTGGTTGGTTTTTTTTTTGTACTATTGAAAATTAGGAGATGAAGCAAAGAGAAACTGAAAGAACACCAAAACCTGCAATTTGTATATATATACATTCAGCAACAGTATTTTATTACAGAAACTAACCTTACAGAGAGAGAATTGTACCAACTAGCTACATCACCTGAACAAAAACAGAAATAGTACTGCAGTGGTTGCTGCACTGTGTTTGTTTTTCCAATGTTTAAAGTAAAGTATGGATATGCTTCTGTACTCTGCCTTTCTGGGGTGTAGTCATAGTATGGAGCTATGATTAGGAACATCAGTTTGGCCTGCATCATGTTCTGCTCTGTGTGCAAACACACATGCCTGTTGGAAAGGATCTCACAATTTCATATTAGTTCAGCAAAAAGCCATTACCACACACACGAGGGAATATGCTGGTGCTGCCGAGGACAGCAAAGAGCATGCTTCCACGTGCATTGTCTGCATTGCTTATCTCTGATAGTTTGTAATGGGGGGGGTGGAGTGTGGTTTCAGCATTATTGAAAAGTATGGGAAAAGCTTGTGACCATCTCCCAGCTGTAAACAGGTGTTACCTAACCACCTCTGCAAGCATTGTTAGGTCTTTGGATTTAAATGCAACACTGAGTTGTTTCATATACTTAAATGGTTTGGGTTTCAGTTTGTAAATGGTTTGAACACTGATAAGTCAATTTTATGGAAAGACTGGCTGAATGCTAAAAGTGGTTAGGAAGAAAGAGAGATGTTTTATAAGAGGAATTTTACTTTACCTAGTTTTAGTAAACAGTTGCTGGACAAGAATTCTTTCTCTACTGTTTTACTGTCGTGCTTCGCTTTTCACCCTGCTGGTAATGATTTACTTGTTTCCTCAATCTCATACAGACCAGTCCTAATAATGATAAATTAATAGAAATCAGTTCTTCTGATACTTGACTTTCTGATATTCGATAATGCTAATGGATCCTCATCACTTCACAAAGTGACTTGCCCAAGGTCATGTGAGACCAGTAAGAGACTTAGACTCATATTTTTCAACTTTCATACCATCCTAGGAATCAGAGTCTGTTGGTCAGTTGTGTCCGTTAGTTGAACAGGTTAAAGACAATCCCATCGTCATAGTATGCACAGAGACTCTGTTAGGTTTAGTGCATGGGCATCCAGAGGCAGTCCTTGCCCTGAAGACCTTGTGGTCCAAGTAGGTGAAAGCACAGAGGTGATGTAACTGCTCCAAAATCAAAAATCTTTTGTTTCAGATCAGTACGTTAACATCCAGAGTGTATGGCTGCTCCATTACATTTCCCTTGGAACATATGGAAAATTACCTCAAAGCTGCATTCAGGGAAAAGCCTCCCTCAGAGTTACCATTGAAATCATGGGACCTTTTCCCAAACGAGAACTTTCACATTTTTTAAATTTGTGTTTAAAAAGTGGTTCTTCTTCAGCTAACCAGTCTAGCTTTAACCTCTGGTTGGTGGCATTACAAATACCTGAACAGCTGGAGATTTGTAAAGCCATACGAGCATTTCAGTGCTGCAGTGAAGTGTCGGTTCAAACCTACTTCAGCTGAATGAGAAAGGAGGCATCCCGTTTCTATTTCCTGGAGATCAATTAAAGTTTATCTAAGAGGAAAAAAAATTACAAATCACAGGGTGCTGGCATCTTTGTAGTCAAGCCAAGGACAAACAGATCTTGGAGCTGCCTATTCTTGTAATTTGTTCGTGTGAGTCACAAATAGGCACAAATTCTTTAGCAGATCGCAGTAGCAAAGTCTGTACTCTGCACCATGCCAGACAACTGAACAGAAGATGTTCTCTTTCAGTTACTCTCACCAGCATTACATTTATATAAACATTGCAACAAAACTGAATTCTGTTTTTCTCGTGTGAGTAAGAGTCACAGTAATATTGTAAATTATTGAGAATCTTAAAGGGTTTTTTTGTACTGAGGCTTTCCCCCTGCTTCTTAAGAAAGTGAAATGTATGTTCCATGTAAAGGTACTCCGGGAGATTTGTAGACTTTGGCTGCTTAATTGTTTCTGAATCTCTTTTGTCTACTAAGTTAGCACACAGAATCAAGTTTTTGCTGTAGGAATGGTTGCTTTGAACACGTGCTCACAGTTCTAAATGGAGATTTAAATTATTCCTATGTAGCAAAGGTCAAATACTCTTTTCATACAGGTGACCTTGTATTGGTAATGATTTTGCAAACTACACAATGTTTCCAAAGGTTCCCTTTGAAATTTTATTTTGGGTTTTTTGACCTTCAGGGACTCTTCAGTTTTGGTACCTTTGCTCCCTTTAGAAGTATAATAAATACATTGTTTACTTTATTAGTAAAATATATTCAGAACATTTTTTCAAGAGTCAAAGGTTTAATTTTCTAAGGTTATATATAATAATGTGGTGTTTAGAAACAAAACAACAGACAAAGATCATACATCACCTTTATATATAATCAAACTGTAATGCTGGGAATTTCTTGATGATAGCATGTGGAGAGGTAAAGTATATGTTCCTTTCAGAGGGTTATTTTGAATATTATCATGGATTATGCTAAGAATAGATACTACTTTGATTGTTACTCTGTGTGTGTGTATAAAATTTTGGCACACAGTCAGGAGCCAAACATCTTGGAGGAGACTGTAAAGCAGTTTTTCACAGGTTAGTTGTTTTTCTGATCACAATTCTGCTCCAAATACAGAAGCGGTAACCCAATATAGTTGTTGCATCCAACAGAGAATTTGGTGATCAAGGTCTTCCTTTGGTGCTGCCAGACACTGTCGGTGTAATCTCAGCAATGCCTGTAAATATTTCTAGGTTGGAGCTTTCTTGGTCTGAAAACAGGGGAGAATGTTTGTCATTTCTGTAACGTGCTTTGAAGTACTTAGATGACAAATATCTTATATAGTGGTTATAAAATTTTGTAACTTATAAACACCCCTCCCCAATTTCATTTTTGTAAGACTTACAGCAAAATGAAAAGTGACAATTACTTAAAATTCTTTTTGCTGTGATCTTTCTGGCAGTTTTCTGGCTGTGTCACCACTAGAGCTTTCATGTTTGTTGGTATTTATGACACTTACAGGATTGCAGCCTGCTGTGACATGCACAGACACAGCTATTTTACCATAATGAGTTTTGTCATAATACACCCTTATTAAAGAAAACAATATCTTGAATGTTGACTGTTTTTCTTTAGTAAGGTAACTTGTTTTACTACTATTTGTTTCTGGTTTTAATTCACTGTCAACATTTATAACAGCAAAGAAATAAATGCTGTGCGTGAAGAGTACAAGCAGAAACTGAGAGACCAGGAAGCTTTCCACAGAACACAGATTCAACGACAGCAGCTCTATGTTGAGGATTTAAAGCAACAGATCCTGAGAGGACAGATCAAAGCAGAGCGGGAGCTGGAAAATGACCAAGCACTAATCAACCAGCAAATCCAAGAAAGTGGGTACCTGCCTCTTCCCCTCCCTCAGTGTCCCTCCATTACTGCATACTTTCATCCTCTCAGTGTTTTTGTCCTAGTGCTGCTTTATTTTATGGTGGGACTTTTATTACAGCTTATTACCAGTTTTCTCTTACAATTGCCTTTCCCTTGAGAACAGTTACTAAGCTCTGATTACGAGGAGCTCCTTCACGGTGCTCCAGCAGCACTGTTTAATGAGCTCTGCAGGTCACTGCTGGGAGGGAGAGCACCAGCTACTCCCCTGTGGCACTGAGCCTCTTCTCTTCCAGCCTGATCTGGCCTCCCTGCAGTTTTGCTCTGCTCACATCTGTAGTGCAACTCTGCCATGTTTATTCCAAAACTGGGTCAAAAAAAGAGACGCATGCTTTGGTTCAGATAGGAGTTGTTTCTAGGAAGTTCTGCAGTGTGTGCAAAAGTACTAAAGGCTACAACAGTGATCAGATTTTAAATGGCAAACAGCTATGTCAGAAGGTGAAGCCACAGCACGTTTTGAGAGGTATTTTTTAGTGTCAGTGCCTTCTGGCTCCCAGAGGTGCTACTTTGTACACAGGCAGACATACTAAGTAAGATGCTTTGGGGGCATTGGGCTGCTTCTTAGTGAGTTTATAGACTGATTTTGGGAACATTTTAAACCTTGATATGTTTTGAATCACTGAAATTGAGTGGTTATACTGTTCCCTATAGTGTTTCTGTTCAAGTGAATGATTTGATCCAGGTTTCTTGATAAGCCAAGGGTATCATTCCTACCTGGCAAAATCTGCTATTTGCTCCTGGAAGAAGAAAGCTTTAGTGAATTTTTGGCAGTGTCTCAGACCAAAACTTATGCAGTCAGCTATCCTTTAATTATGCCCGCCACAATGAAGAAAGAAAATTGGTTTGATGGGATATAGCAGAACATGCACAGCGAAAAGGAGAGTTCCCCCAAAATACCTCTATTTTGTGGCTCTGCTTCTCTTTAGTTCTCCTGTTTCCACTGTTCACACAAAGCATACCCAGGCAAATACAATTCTTCACTTGGCAACCCACCAGAGTTCTTCACCTTTTCTGTGCCTACTGTGGCTCAGCTCCTGACAGAGGCAAGTTTGTGGGCAGAGATTAATTAGCATCTTAGAACTTGCAGGTCTTTTGCAGGGAAACTGATCTGCCAAATATTCTGCTTGCTAAAACATGCTAAAGAGGGCACATCTGGAAATAGACTCGAGAAAAAAACCTTTGTATGTGAAAGTTAAAAATGCTATTAAGGAAAATTAACTAACATAATGACTAAAATGCTTCCCTTTTTTCCACAGATTAACCATTGAGCTAGAATTCCTACTTCTGTACATGTACTCTGTGTAGAGTGGCCAACATAAACAGAACAGGAGACTTATTGTGGTAGGGATAACTAATGAAGTATGTTTAACAAGACCAGTAGTCACCAAGCCAGCGATGCTGACAATGTCTATACACGAGTGATTTCTTATGTTAGGAAAACTTCCAGAGCCCCAAATTCCTCTCTTGCAGCTTAGCTGTGCAGAGCTACAGGTAGCCCTCATTCATCACATCAGACCTCTTAATTCCTACGCCCCTGCATAAGCGACAAAAAGTTGCATATTCAGTAAAGGACTGCACATTGAAAACAAGCTAATTCTGTGAAAAATATGCATTGACTGGTGGTATGAGCTTGTGTTTTTAGAATTCTGTTTGTCATGATAGCTAAAAGTTGTGTTGGGTTTACCTGTGTCCTTGCCATGACAGTATTTATTTTATTTCATGTACATTGAACTAGATGATCTTTAGGATCCCTTCCAAGCCCAGCCATTCAATGACTCTGTAATTCCATGATTACATGCTAAAGCACTCATGTACACGGTATGTGGGTTCCCATCAGCCTGTTTTGGCAAGTGCTTGTTGGGACAGCCATAATTGCAAGAGGTAGGAAGTTTGTGGTGGTTGTTCTACCTTAGCCAGGTGCCACACGGGGATTGTGTTGCTTGGGAAGTTTTCATCTGACACATCTAGAGAGGCTGTCAGAACTCTCCAGCAGGTACCTATACAATGACATCCTTGTAGCCTTGACTTCAACTCACTTGGAAGGCTGCATTCCCATCCGCAGGACTGATGACTGTCAGCTGTCCTGCAAATGAGGACCACCCAAAGCGGGGCATAGGAAGGTCCAGCTGCCAGGCTTACTGAACTTGCCACCAATAAGCATGAACAAAAAAATTGCCATTTCCTGTGCTGTACAAAGTCCCTTAGCATGACTCTGGGCTCCCTCATTTTCAGAATGCCTAGGTGAGTGAGAGAAAACAGTTTGCAGGTGGAGGTTGTTTTGTTCAGTCAAGTTAAGGAGGAAAGGAGAGTAGCAAAAATCTCGAAGAGAAATGTTTGTTTTAGAACAGTTGTAAAACATTCAAATGCAGTGATGAGAAATCAGTCCCATTTTAAGATTGCACAAGTGCTTAGTTTTTCATTCAAAGTGCAGGACTTTATTAGCCAAAGGTTATCAGTGTGCGCATAAAATTCCATTTGCTGCATTAATGCAGAAGCAAATGCTGGACTCTAGCTCTGTGCAACTTCCTCTTCTAGTTCCCTTGTTAACTCTGCTCCCAGTGCACATGCATTTGTTCCCTAAGTAACACATACTAAGTTTGAACATGTGACTTCAGAATAATAAAGCAGAGGTAGGAGCATACTTCACAGAAAAAAGCTAATGAAGTCATACTTCACTACTGTGAATATATACCCTGTGCCTGAAAAATGCACAGAATTGAACTCGGGTCTTTTCATGCTTCCACTGTATTTTACAACAAAATTGAGGTGAAGTTTGAGTGTAATCCTTGAGACTGACATGTGCTCTACTTTTTGCTCACAAACAATGTCTTATCCACCAGCCTCCTTATCTGCATTGCCAAGCCCCCCTGCTCATACCCTGCAGTTGCTACCCAAGTCCATAACCCAATGGAGAGGCTTTCAGTTATCAATCAGGTAGAGCAACGATACCCTTTCATTCAAACGGTTTGCCAAGTTTCCACTCTAACATGCATAGAAATTCTGTTCTCAAATGATCTCTTGAGGCTGATTAAATAAGGAAACAAGGTAGTAAAATTTTTCTATGATTTTTACTTTCTTGCAATCGTTGTTTTGTTTACAGACCAGCAGTGGCTTATAAATGAGAATAAACGTCTGGCTGCCCTTCAGCAGCAGCAGAGGGAGTTTGCAGTGCAAACAGAGCCTACGCTGTATGCAGAGGCCGAGGTGCAGAGTAACCCTGGGGTGCAAATCTGCCTTTCCCTGTTACAACAGAACAAGAAGAGACTGGTGCAGCTGGAGCTTTTGCGAAGATACTCCTTAAAAAAGGCCGAAAGAAACATAAGGAGGAAAAAGGTCAAATTCCAGCTGGAAAGAATAGTCAAGAAGCAGAAGTTACTGGAAGCCAAGCAAAACCTAGAGCAGCTGGAAGCTAGCTGCTGGCTCAGTGAAGAATGCGTGAAACAATCCCAAGTCCTAAATGAAAATATTGCTGCACGGTCCTCTTTGGATCACCAATTGCAAAAGAGATGGAAGTCACTGGGTTCGAGTTCCTTGCAGCACAGGCAGCATTTGTTCTGTAACACACATCTGCCCCAGGTACCCAGGTAAATTTACATCTGCCAATTCTTCTGCGCTTTCAAAACTAATGTAAATTCAAGGTATTTTCAGTGGCCACCTATAATCCCAAATGCTTTTCAACGTATTGAAACAATCCCCAAACCTGCAATATTAGTGAACCTACTATACTGTACACCCACTGGGCCAGTTTGTCCTTTTCCATTGGGTTTGTACTGTGCATTGCCTACTTGGTCTTTGACACAGTCTTTCTCAATGTTTTTTACATTCCTCTCTCAAGACTTTCTGCACTTTTTACCTCTTTGAGAATGCTTTCCAGAACTGGCTTAACTCTAGTTATTGCCGTGTTCAGATTGTTGGAAAATACTAATTTCTGCATCATTTTATCTTAATTAGGATCAAACTCTTCCTTCAGAATATTGGCATCTTTGGGGTGATTATGGATCGGGCTTTTACACTGGCCAGCCTTTCTCAAGTTAATACCTAAACTCTGCTAAGTGGATTTCTGTGACTTAGACCATCCTTTATGTTTAATTAATGTTTGCAGCTACTTGAGCCTACAGAGACTCAATACCACATAGCATCGAGCTGTACCTCTGCATGCAGAGCATATCTCAGGATAGCAAGGGGATCGTATAGTTACTGACAGAATTTACTTTTTTTTTATTCTCTGCTAAAATTTGCTTTTGAAAGTCATTAAGATTGTTGCTTCATGAATTGCTGCTCTTAACTACAAGACATTACTGAGGTGGAAATGTTGTTAAATACATTATTTGAGCAAGGATTGGATTTTATTTTTTCTTTATTTCCACAGCTGTTTGCTGAAGAGGGAGTCTGTCTCAAAGTTATCTACCTCACCAAACACTGATCAATACTGTGAAGGCAGTCCAACGGGGAGGTTGTCACCTGTAGAATACCTTTACAGAAGTGGTAAAGACATTTCTGAGAATGATGACCTTAATGATGACAAGGGGATCTCCTTTTCGGTCCAGGGGCAGCTAACTGAAAAACAAAAACCATCTTCAATTGGACACAAAAAAGTAGCAGAAAAAGACTCTAATGATTCAGCTATCATGGCTCATATCAATAAAAATTATCAAAAAATTGAAAAGTTGGATGACAACCCAGGGCAAGCTGGATCTCAAAACCAGACCTCTAAAGACTCCTCTCCTGATCTTTTTAAGGTGAAAGATGAGCCTAAAACCTTTATTACAGGGAAAAGAATGACAAAGTCAAAGGTGCTAGGAGATTTAAGTCAGCCTGCAAGTAGCAATCTAGCACAAAATAGAGCTCAGGTATCCAATAAAAAGATTAGAATGGATATCAATGGAAAAGGCCACAGGTCTTCTCCAGAAAACTTTCCTAAACAAATGAAGAAAATAGTGTATGGAAACCCATCAGTGCATATAAACCAAACCATCACGAACCGGAGCACAGAACCAAACTCAACCTTGCCAAGTCATTGAGAAATCACCAGTGGAACAGAAAGAATTTCTGGTGGCAGCCACATCAGTAGGAAATCTCACTAAGATGAACTCACAGGCACCGCTCTCTTATGTTGAAAAAAAGTGGCACAGTGCTGAGATGCTAAGTGCTGGAGTGTCCAGAACAGCCACAGATGTGCTGGGGAACTGGCAAGAGGATGATGAAAATGAGATTTCTGATACAGACAGTTCCTATTCTGTAGATTCTCTCTCCTGCGCTTATGCAAAAGCTTTCCCAGAGAAAACGAAACAAGAAGATTTTGACAGAAATAAATGTCCTGCCAACACAGAAGATTCTGAGAGCGATGACAGTCAAATGTCACAAGACTCTCTGGTAGAAAAAGAAAATAAAGCCAAAAAGAAAAAAACAAGCCAATTTCACAAGTTAAACATCCATCATGAGCCAGCTAAGCTTAACAAAAGCAGAACTGAGCACCATATTTCATCTTTTGTGACATCATACGCATCTCGTAGGAACCTGGAAAAGGCTGAAAGAAGCTTTTCTCTGGATAGTTTAGCTGATGGAGAAGAGATGCCAGCAGAAGAACTGGTAGAAGAATCCAAATCTGATTCATCTGATGAAGTACCAACAGAGATTTTCTGGAAGTTACAAACTCCTAGATTACCAGCTATACAGATTGAAGAAGACCATGAGTCCAAGACCTGCAACAGAGATACAGAAGGAACAAGTTACGATCTGAAGCTGAGCAGTTCCTTTTATTTGGACACTAAGCCACATCCTGCTTCCAGTAATGCTTGCAAGCAGTTGCTGAAAGGGACAAAAGTCTCCTTTGTAGAACAAGAAAGGTGTCTTGATAAAAGACTGTATTATGCAAGTGAAAATCCTTTGCTTACTAATGATGCTTGGCCTTCCTGTGACTCAAAGGTTGACATCAGCAACCCCAGAATAACAACACCTTCTTCCCATGAAAATTTGGAATTTCAGGAAGCTCATCTGTGTTCTTTGAGCAAACCAGACCTTTGGCTGAAGAAAGATGATCTAAAGCAGTCAGCTGCTGAAGTTTCTTTTGTTTCTGGCTCTAAGCAGATTCACAGCATTACTCACTTACCACATCGTGTAAACGAAATAAACTCAGTTTTCTCCTCTGACACATCGGATTTACCTTTACCTGAAACAATAACTGCAAGCAGAGTTTCTGAGAGTGGATCATTAAATAAGATTTTTAAGGAATGGACAAACTCTAATGAAAATTCATCCTTGGAATCTCAAAATGTAATGTCCTCATTTGTTAGCTCAGTAGGACCAAGTTCTTCTTTTGTTCCTACTTCCACAAAACATGATTATTATAAACATTCAAAGTCACATCATCCTCAACAAGAACAACTGGATGAATTATCTACTTACAGATCTACCAGTGAATGCACGCAAACATTCAGCTGTTTGGAAAGCAGCTCCACTGCAGACTGCTTGTCACTGGTATCTAGGAAAGCGGAGGATTCTCTCCCCACAACTCATCCAGAGCTGCCAAAAGATCACACTCTGAAAAAAACACCTTTTGTCTCCGTGCAGACTGTGGAGCGGAGGAATGGCTGTTTACATGCAGATTTAGAAGATGGTTTCTTCAGAACTTTTTCAAAAGGTGAGCTCAACAGTGACTGTAATAACTTGATGGCAATATCAAGTGTGACAGATTCAGGCAGAGGAAGTGCATCTCTCAATGCACCTGCTGCTGAATCTTCTATGGGACTTGCTCATAATATGACCTCAACACAGACATCTGCAGTAAAACACATCCCATTTGGAAACCATGGGCAGCTTTTTCCCATACAAAAAATACCAAGATGTTGTGATGAAGGTTTCTTTCTCGGTGACTTAACAAATAAGGACTGCTCTCTAGTAAGCAGCTATGAGTTTCAGACATTGGCTGGACAAGCAGAAGAATCAACTGTTACAGAAGGTCTCCTCAGGTCTGGGGAGAGTGATTTGGAAACAATGCAAGAAACGGATTATGAACAAATATCTACAGAAGAAGTAACAACAGAGACAGATTTTTCCTCAGAGGAGACAACATATCAGTGTCACCCTGCCAGTGCAAGTTACGACCAATCTGCAACACCAGTAGAGATGTCTGAAAAAGAGATAATCTGTATGGAAACAAGCACAGATAGCTTGGCAGAGGTTGTGCCAGAGGTGCCTTCATTTATGGATCATGAAGAATACGAATCAAAGGATGAAGACTTGTCTTCACTGAATCATTATGAATTCAAACACAACCCTGTTCCAAAGGATTACTCCCATGAGTGTGCTCTAGCAGACAGTCAGGCAAGTTGCTTATCCCAGGAAATTTCAGACAATTCTACATTATGCACTGATAATATAAGAGAAGAAAGCAGTGAAAGCAAAGAACACAATGCCTTGAATTCTCAGGCTGTAGTTCAGAAAGAATTTTCATCCAAATATGAAAACTTAGTGGTAAGTGAAGTAAGTTATTTCATAGTGAATGTAAATGGGAAAGACACTAAGTCTTTCTCTGCTGCTATTTGTGAAACTGCAAATGATTTTCTCCCAGAATCTAATTCAAGCATACTTTACAAACGTTCAATGAAAACTAATCTTTTCCAAAGTGCATCTGAGACTGAAAATTATGATAAACTGTCGGAACACGTCACAGTGGTGAAAGGAGGTTGTAATGATACATCTAGTATTACTGTGGAAGTCAATGCCACAGAAAGTTGTTCTGACGTACATTCTGGCTGCCTTTGCACAACCTGCTCTTCAAAATCAACAGAGCAGAAGAACAGCACACATAAAACAGCTGACATTTCTGTGGAATTTGATGCCACCATTCTCTCTGGAAACAGAAACACAGAACAAATCTTTACTTGAATCAAGAAAAGAGAAAGAAGCTTTTTTGAAAGTGCTTGCCCAGAGGACATTTTTCTTGTTGAAGATGATGTGAATTCACAGTTGGAAAGGGTATTTGAATGCAACACAAATCCATCAGCTACCATTTCTCAAGAGGAGAGTTCATATATAAATAAAGAATCCCAATTTTTAAGAAACTTAGAAACTGATCCAGAAGAAACCATAGCTCCTTATCAGAATACAGAGGCAAACAGTGATGCAGAAATAATTAACCAATTAAACAATAGTGTAATCAACTTAGAAAAAAATGCATTGGAAATTAAATCCAGACAGATTGAAAGTTTACCTGACAATCCAGAAACCAAAGTTCAAAGTGTAACTGAAGACAGGAGAGGAAAGGATTTTAAAGACATTAGTCTATCTCAGAATCCAAAGAAACCTACTGATGTTGTAGCTTGTGAAGTTCAATGTGAGTTTAATGCAAATCTGTGCCTGATGCGTGAAGAAGTGGACAAAGATGAACTGCAGGAAGCCAGCAATGAGGTAGAACATACTCAGGAATCAAAAGCACTCCTGCACTCTGGCAGCCAACATGAAACAAGCAGCTTTTGCCAAAGAGAAAAAAGTGAGAAAACAGAAATAAGTGTTTATTCACCAGAGTTTTCTGTTGCTCCCAAAACCACTCCTTCAGCTATGTGTTCCCACACAACAGATATTGTTCAGAATATTTCAGGGTCCCTTGATACTTGTGAGGGGCTTGTACAGATGAACAGAACAACAGAAAATGTAGGTGCAACAATACTAATCACAAGGAGGCAAGCAAATATTTTAGAAAAACTTGAAAATGAAGAACAAATAAGTTCTAACAATTCAGTTGAGCCTTGTCTACCCAATTGTTTGCCCCAGGAAGACAAAGTTAATGAATGTGAAGTAACTGGGAGTGAAAAAGAAATTACTGTGACATACACCAAGGAGCTGCAAGAAGACATGTGCACAGATGAAAATGTTTTATTTACTGAACAGTTTCCAGCTGTGCATCAGATGTATTGTGACAGAGATGACAAAGAGGAAAGTTTAAATCAGTTTAAGATCCCTGAAAAATACCTGACAGCTTCAGAACTAGAACAGAATATGCTGTTAGAGGATGATTCAAGATACCGTGATCCTACTGAAATAAGTGAAGATGGTGACTCAGTAGACTCTGTTACAGAGACAGGAAATGTAGCCAATTCACGTGAATATTCAGGTGATGACAGTGCTGGTAACAACCAACGCAGAACTGAACAAAAATCTACAAGTCTCGACAGACATAGGTATACAAGTTGTGCTACGCGATCTCCTGAGCACAGCACTTCAGAAAACTTGAATGTTGGTATTGTTAGAAAAAGTCCTGATGTTTGTGAATTGGATCCAGTAGGCTGTAGAGTTGAGGAGGAGGAAGTGCTTTTGATGAAGCTACTACAAATGGCCAAATCAGACAAACAAAAGCAGATGCTTGTAGAAAACACAGAGGAGGTAGAACTGATCTTTTTAGAAAACCTGGATGAACTATTCCCTGAAAACAAAGATAGCTACCAAATGACACATGATGACAGCAGATTAAATGAAATCTTGAGAAAAAGCCAGTGGGTGTCTACCAGCTTTTCTAGAAAGAACGAAGACATCAACAAGCAACAAAATCCATCAGCAACACTGAAGCCTACAGAAAAAAACCAAGAACTTCAAGACTACCCATGCCAGTCTGTAAATCACTTTTTATATCTTGGAGGAAGTGATGATTCCCATCTTGTTCAAAATGTTCCCACTGCATCAAAAGGACATACAAAACCATCTAACAGCAGTCTTGGAACTGGAGCTGTCCTGCCTTACTATGAAACATTAATGGAGAGTGAAGAGGTGTCAGTACATCTGTTACAGGCAACAAAATGGGAGATAAAACGCAAAGTGAGAGTGTAGCTTTCTCACATATCATGACCACACCAGAAAGGCAGGAGGAAGAATCCTTTGTAGTTAAAAATGCACCTGATCATGCCATATCTGCACAACATGTCAATGAGAGCAGCTCTTTCACTTCCTGCAGTGCAGGTGGTCCTGAGTCTGAAACTGTTGTACTTCAGCAAACAACCAAAGGAAAATCATTTTCCTTGGAAATATTAGATTCTTCTGAAGATATTATTCAGGATGCTCATGAAGAACACAGTATGGATTTTATGGTTAATAAACTATTAAATTACTGTCTTAATTCCATGGAAGATACAACTCAGGAGGAAAAGGATACCACTGTGCCTGATTCACTGCTCTTGAATAAATCAAACCTGCTTTCTTCTTCAGAGGAAGAAGTGATGGAAGACATAGGGATGGGGGAAACGCATTCTTTACTAGAAATCTCTACACCAAAAATCTTTCACAATATTAATACAACCCAGATAGTACTTCAGTCGGGGAGTTCATCACTGCATGATGAGAAGGAGGAATTTTTAAACACAAGCTATCCTACAGCAAACAGTAAAACTGAAAAGGCCAAGTTTCCTGGTGCAGCTGGATATCAGCATGAGCCTGGAGAAAATCAGGGGCATGAGACTTCTGAAAAGTGCTGCATAGACCAATCAGGCAACGCTGTTTCTGAGCATGCTTCAGCCCTTTCAGAAAGCCTGAACAAGTCTACAAGGGAAAATTCACATTATAGTAAAGAGTTTCTAAATTATAATAGGAACTTGGGTGCTTCTGAACATTCTCCTGGTCTTCTGAATTGTCCAGCATCATCTGCAAGTAATTTGATTGCCAGCAATGGAGACAAAACTGAAAATGATGCTATTCTCTCTGAAGAAACAAAATACTTTGAAAGTGAATCAATTGATTTAAATGTATCTGTAACTTTTCCTAGTGTTTCTCAAAAAGGAGATGAAAAGAAAAATAATTCTCCAGTGGCAGAGGTCACATATGCTCAGAATAATGAACTCCCTGAAAAAGTGGGAAGAAATCAAAAGGAGAAAATTATTCAAGGTTATTTCCAGAACTGCAATGACATAAAAGAAAATAAAGTTCATGAATACTCAGATCACAGCAGTAACACTAATGGTGTGACTGTACCAGGATCAGACTTGCTTGCTTTCCAGAGCCAAGGGCAGACTGGCAGTAACAAATCAAAGTCTCTTTCATCCTACTCAACAGAAGAAACTCCAACTGATACATCATTTCAAAGCTCCAAGAACTTCAGTGCTTGTAACACATCTTGTTTACCTGAGGACTCAAAATCTCTAATATTTAGCCAGCTTGAGGATGCACTTCAGGATACTTTTTTGACTGAGAAAGTGACCTCCAGTTCTGCAGACATGTGCTCTGTGAAAGAAGACTTTCCCCAAGCATTTGCAAGTGTCAATCACCCATCCTTAGTGGCATTTTCAGAATCATCTTTAGCTGCAGATATAGGCCATGGTGAAACTGGCACATATGATATTTCACATTCAAATATATTGAAACATTCTCCATTTGCTGTTTCTCAAATACAAGACACTCAGTCTGATAAGGCTGTTGTATTTGATGAGCCACTATGTGCTTCAGGAAGTATTTTACTTTCTCTTGCAAAAGAAAATAAGCATTGTCCAGTGTCAGACACAGAGTGTAGTCCATGCAAAAATTCTGCTGTAGATGTGGAACTTGTGTCTGGAAGTAATCATAAAAAACTTGACAATGATATAAAAGTCGATCAGCATCACTGGGATAAGGTTCTACCACACGAAGCTTGCACAGAACACACAGAGGAAATATTAAGTGATAATCCTCTTTTATTACCATCGTTACCTTTTGCAATACTGAAAGGGCAATTCTTGTTAAAGAGGGACAAATGAGAAATACATTTAACAGAAATGAGGAAGAATTGTATTCAAATACTGAGCCTGAACATCTTGCAGCAAAGACAGAGCAGAAAAAAACATTAAGTAGAAAACCTGCTGAAAAGCAAACTAATGTATCCTCAAATTCTTCAAATGAATTAATAGGCTCAGAAGTTACAGTGTTTGAAACTCTGTATCCAGGAGATGTTGAAGTGGATCCTGACCACAGCTGCAGTTCAGTTAGTCCAGCATATCCCACACACAGCAGAAGTGCTGATCCCAGGCACCCGTATCACACTGTCTTGGGTTTTGAAAGAAACCCTGCAGATCTGCAAGATAATTGTCAGTATGTGCCTACAGGTGAACACATAGAACACCTACCAAATAGAACAAACCCAGAGTGGAGAAAAGAGATTTTACCTTGCAAAAGTAATACAGGTTCAAGTGTTGATAGCCCTACTGATGATGCCGATGTAGACAATTGTTCAACAGCTGGAGACACTATAACAAGGAATAAAACTTGGAAATCAGAAAGACCGAAATTTTCTGTAATAAGTAATGAAACTACCTCCATAAAGTTTTTGCCAGAAAACCATGATTTGCCTCCTCAAGAACCTAAATTGGTGCAATTCAGGAGCAAAAGTTCATATTCTGCTACACAGAATACAAAGAGCTGTAAAGAAAGTGAACAGAGACCTTATTTACAAAGTCACAGAGTATCAGCCCCAGCTATTGCTGTTTTCTCTGATACAGAATATACTTTGGAAGCTTCATCCAAGGCAGATCCTTTGTTATATTCTGCATCTAAATCACTACAAGATTTAAATATGAGTGTAGAGCCTCCATCACCAACTGGAGATGATCTTTATGAAATTGAAAGATTTTCAAAGCAGGAATCAAAGAACTTTCTAAAGGTTAAATCTAAACCCAGATTTCAGCAAAGAATGGCACAAACTAAGAAGTTTGCAAACTATGATCCCAAAAATTTACAAAATTTTGCAGGAAGAAGCCAAAGCAGCCAGTCTTTAAAAGACTGTGCTACTCAGTCTCCATCATGCTTACTGCCCACAGCTCACAGTCTTGTGGGTGCAGAAGTAAATGTCCATTCAAAGAGTAGTTCTGTATCTCAGTGTAGTGAAGGGAAAGGCGAAGAAGGTGGATACCAGCCAGATTTAATTTCACAAGACGATAAAGATGTAATCCACTTTAGTTCAAGTGATATCAACCCATATATTCACTCATGGCAACAAGATGGATCATGCAAGATTGGCTGGAAACAGTATGTTTTTGGAAGTGCAAGTGATGTCTCTTGCAATCAAATTCCTCTAAGTACAGAAAACCATAAAGTTATGAGATGTTCCAGTGCGGACAATGGACTGAATTCTCAAAATTCTCCTTTTCATTCTCATCTAAGTTCATACGCTACAGCAAAAGTTTTATCAAGCACTTTAAGTAGCATTGAAGGTCTTCAAGGATGGGATGCTGTCAGACAAGACTTTCAATCTGCATACTCGAGTGACAGTACCAAGCAGTATAGCAACGTATCCAGTGAAACATTGGAAACTAATTCAGAGAACAACACTGCTGAATTTGAGAATCCTTCTGCACAACCTGGTAACTCCTCTATGCAGGTTGATGAAATTGTACTACTATATCCTTCTGAGTCTGAAAGGTCTTCTAAAAAACTACCAGGGATTACATGTGAGCAGGGAACACAAACAGCAACTACAGGAAGGTATAAAAGGCAGAGAAGACACCAGAGAAGTTATACAGATGTTTCTGCAAAAAGGGAGGAAACAAACAGAAATTTATTTCTTCAACCTTCTTGGACAAGCATGCAGAACCTGTCCATGCATCTATCACAGCTTCTTCAGAACACTTCTGAGCTGTTGGGAAACCTCTCCCAACAGAGTTCTATAGATAATGAGCAGAATGCCAAAATCAATCAAAGAGGAACTGAAGATGCTGTAAAGACTACCAGATCAGATAGCTGCACTCAGACTACAGCAGATGTAGGCACTCAAACCGAGATTTTGGAAGAACCTCAAAGCAAACGTGAAGAAAAACAAGTGGAGGCAAAAATAGAAAATGAATTGAGGGCAGCTCAGGCAGTAAACAATTGTAAAGAAATTGGTGGAGATACAACAGGAAAGATTCCCCAAAGGAAAGAGGAAACGCTGTCTCTTGAAGAAAGAATAAAAGAACAAACAGGGATGAAAAGTCTAGGCAATCCTGACTTCCACGACAGTCTTGACAGCATTTTGGAAGACTCCTTTATGCATCTGCCTCTCTTATCCAGAACCTCCGCTCCTATCTTACATTTTCAGAAAACGTCATTTAATGCACAGCAGAAGGATGCTTTTGCTAGTACCAGAGTTTCATCTCTCACATCATCTTTGCCAAGTTCAGGGCAAGATGATTCTTCGTGCACTGTAGTTAGCAGCCCTACTAATAGCACCTCTTACTCTCCAACATCTTACACGCAAGATAAAAGAAATGTCAATGAAACAGAGGCTCCAGCAGAAAGAAAATTTTGTTACAAAAATACCCTACTAGTCGATAGGGCCTCTTCCCCTATTCTTACTCTTAGTGCTAGTCCCAACAGCCAGACTGCTTTTAGCAAGTCTGTCTGCCCTGTTAAGGAACGCCTTGGATATTCCAGTGTCGCTTCAAGTCCCCTTCACAACCAGAGAAAGCAGAGGGCAGGTCCACAGTCCAGCATGCACTCTCACGTGGACAATTTTTCACAGACAGAAACAGAGAGTGAATCAAGCACTTCTACAGAACATAAGGGCATAAGAAAGAAATCCGGAAGTTTCTCAGGGAAGAAAGCAGCCAAAGAGCTTTTAGGACAGGATGGTTCAAAAGACTTGGAGCAAGAGCACAGACTGATGGTTGACACCCACACTACCATTTGTGCAAAGCGGCTGTATCACTCTAGCAGTATGTTAGAGGTGTCGGGCCACAGTGAGGTTGTAACAGGTGACGTCAGAGACCACGGTTCACTGGCACATTCGCTTCATTGTATGTATGTTACGAGGGGAGGAAGAGGTTCTTCAGCTGGAATCGGACATGAAAAGTACATTGGGAATTCTGATACCGCTTTGATTCATAACTATCCATCTCCAAATGCTGATTTACTTTTTAATCAAAAAATTAGTGCCACTTGTTCAAGTAAGACAAATGCTGGCACATCCTCAGAACCTCTGGTAGAAGCATCTTCTCTACGATTTCATGATTTCTTCTGGAGGAATGAAAACAGCTGCCCTCCCCCACTCTCTGATGTGAGTGATGTGCAGACTTCCTTCCGAGACGACAATACAGGTTTTGTCACTGAAAGTGAATGTGACACCGAAATCCCTCTCAACAAAAATAGTACTTTTGCAAAACCATACAGGCCTCGGAGCTACAGCCTCCGTGACTTACCCGTACACAATAAATTTAGCAACTGGTGTGGTGTTAAGGGCAGCCCTTCTCCATCGTTACTCAGCTTGAGTGGCAGCGTGACTGATTTACGAAGTCAGGCAGAAAAGATGATTAGAAGCACACGAGCAACAGAAATGGAAGAGAAATCCCAGCTTTGTGACAGCAGGAGCAGAGAGATCGAGAGACTTCAGAGAGAGCGTGCCCAGATCATGTCTGGCGTTCACCTGGACTTGCATCAGCATCCCCTCACAGTGGAACTGACCGAAGCAAAACTCAATTATGGCATTGGGGAAACAGATGCCCTGCTGAGGGTCCTTCAGAGTGGAAATGCAGACGATACAGTGGCAATTCCAGTGAAGCAGCAACTTTATGAAAGGTAAACTGCTTAAAGTAGTGCTGTATTAAGTACTTTGAACCCACTTCATGCAACTTAAATAGCATTTAGTAATGAGCACTTAACCACTTAGACTGAGTGAAGTATATGTGAAGAGATATAGTATTAAGCTTATTTTATAAACTGTTAAGTAATGCATTTGAGACAAAATTTTGGGGTTACTTCATGAAAAACAGGGAAAATATATGATTAGGTGTAATTCGAATCTCGTGCCACTCCACTCCTAAAATTTCTAGTAGCTGTGAGCGTTTTCATGTGCACCTGGTGATGGTGGGAATATATTTAATTGATATATTGCAATGTAAAATAATTGATACATCCTATTTATGGGGATATCTCGTTCATGCTTCTGTGAATAAATGCTGCAGTATAAATAAACCAAATAAATTTTAAACCCCCATAAATATGCAAAATAAACCATTAAAAAATCAAGATCCAAGCTTGATTCTTGTGATTGATTGTAGAATTAAGTATAGGAAACTCTTGTAACAAAAAATTTACCAGCTTCTGCATTAATCTCCATCTCAATTTGTCTCTCCGCTAGTACCAGCAGTAACCAAGACCCTCTCATGCATTTCCTGCTGTTAGAAAAGCAGTTTTAGAATTTCTGCATCATCTGTCAGTATGTAGACAAAGAAGTATTAGATGGTATTAGGTTCCTATAAATTTTTACATTACAAAGCTACCTAATATTTAAGTACTTTAAAAAATCAGAAAACCTAACTTTGCAGGGTGCATTTTGTCACTGTAATCATGTTTTCCTAACAGACACATGAGAGCTATCGAAACTCTGAGGAAGGAAAGAGAAAAAAGGTTGCAAAGATACCAAAGAAGCCGAAGTCTGAGTCCTCAAAAGCATTTGAGTCTGTTCCAGACTCTGGATCCAAGTCAGAGGGATCCAGATCTCCCTAGCAGACGCCGAGAGTATCTGCAGCAGCTGAGGAGAGATGTGGTGGAAAATACCCGGTAGGGCATTAGAAACCTCTCTTTTGGCCTAATGTTCATTAGCAGTGTTCACAATGGGCACACATTAATGGTTGTTACCGACATCCAAGACTCCCATGGTAGAATTCTTCTCAATATGAACACGTTAAACCTTTGGGATAGAAAGTGCTTTCAGAAAAAACATGTACCTGATATAAAAAAAAAAATTCATTACAAACTTCTGTCTATTTTTATTTAAGTAAGTCCATAACGAGTGTCTAATTTATTATATGCGTATGATGAGGATAGCCCAGTATTCAGACTGGACTGATTAGAGACCAATCTGTCTTCTTACTACTTCACTAACTTAAAAGCCACATTCTGTTAGAATTCAGTTTCGTTTCAGTTCAGAAAACTTCTGCAACACATCACTATTTAGAATTTCAGTTTCTGATTCCCCACCATATCCCCTAAAAACTTTCGCTTCCTTTGCAGTCAGGAGATAGTTATTTTTCCAAAATAATAATCTCAGATGTGATATGCCAAAACCCTGACCTTAGATCATATGAAGAGCTGATTTAGAAACCAGTGCAATCACTGCAATTATGTCAGTGGTAAACTGGACTTGCAGTCTGAGTAGTTTTCCAAGACTAATGTCTGCTCAGTCTTCAGCAAGCAAAGAGAAACTTTTTGGAGGCCCATGTGGTGGGTTTCAGTTGCTTTTCTGGCAAACTTTCCTGTTCCACGGGGAAATACGGTTTTCTCATGGTATTTTGTAGAGGTGGCAAAATTTCATGTAATTATTTGTGTTTCCCCTTACTTGCCTATTTTTACAGAGTTCAAGAACCAAAAAGAAGAAGCATTCAACATCCTTCAGACATTGAACTGTTGCTCCGAGACTACCAGAGAGCACGAGAAGAAACCAAAACTGAAATTGCCCGAGCAAGGGACAAACTTCGGGAGAGAGCAGAGCAAGAAAAAAGGCGTATACGGGAACAAATATTTTCCCAGCTACAGAAGGTGAGCATTATATTGAAAGTATAAACAATCTTGAAGTTCTCAGTGTTTTCTTTTTATGTAATTTTTTTTCTGGGCTAGCACTGAGTAATTGTGTTGCTAAGGTAAAATCTTCAGTCTTTAACAACTACATTTGACCAGCAAGTTAAGTAAGGGGATTGAGAAGTAAAGAAAGAGCAAAAACTGGGACTGAAAAGAGATCTTTTTAAAAAGCCCCTTAAAAACATCCTAGCACTGGTTTAATAGCCTGGACTCTTGTATGTAAAGAATAACAACAGCAAAAACCGCATCTTCCCAGACCGCCAAGTTTTAAGGTGATTCACTCTATGCCTTATATAATCCTAGTCTTTCAAACAAGCCTGCTTATTTAATACTTTCTGTCGGGCAACAGTTTTTGTCAATGTTCCTAGAAAGAAACTGGACTTCTTTAGATCACTTCTCTTTCATCTTCTGGGGTATTATCACTGATTTGACTAGCTGCTGTGCACAGGCAGTTCTGTGGGGGTTTGTTTGTAAAACTGTGATACCTACTATTACAGGAAGAAGCGAGGCTGAAGACTCTTGCCAGTACAAGCACTTTATGCACAGACTCCAGCCTCAGCCTCTCCTCGGGCCCAACATCTGGTTACAATAGCAGTAATACTGCTACATATACTGCAAGGAACTTCAGCAGCAGGGAAGGGCAGGTGAGAAACCACTGGTCTGTGAGATTGATGTCTCCAGATGCTTCAACAACAGAGCCATAATAACAGAGACCTTTTTTAAGATGATTTGTATTCTGTCACAGCTACTGAGCAGGACAAGTTTGCATCACCAGTACACAGATGGGTGAGATGGGGTGGTGGGAGCATTACCATTAATTTCAAAGGACAGTGACACTTTAATTTTTCTGGGTTGTTTTTTGTTTGTTTGTTTTTTGTAACACAGATAAAAGTCAGTCGTTATTGTCAGTAATGCCACCCTCTGCCAAATACTTTAGAAACAACAAGCCTTTTCTTGTGACAAACCTGATAGAAACTGATATTCTCAGTGTGCCTCCCTCAATGATACATGCATTGACTTAAGAGTTTCTGTGTGTTAACATGGATTTTCCTGAAGCTACTTCTGCAGTATGCATCTGTGCTAGCTCCTTACATTTGGTTTGCAAAGTTTCCTGACTTAAGGTATCATTTCATAACCAGAGGAAAGGCAAAGGCATTACCTTATGATAAAGAGAAGCTTCCCACCTTGTAAGGCAGATTTGCTACTAATGTTCCACTGTTAATGTAACACAATTTATTTTCTCCAGTTCACACAAAAAGCTCTCACTTCTGCACTTCCTTTCTTAAATCAGGTTTCTTCTGGAAATACATTGGTTTCAAGAGACACACGAGGTCGTTCAGCTGTTAGAAACAGTCAGCTTTATATGTTAGAGCAACTTCAGAAGGATTCAACACTTGGTGAGTATATCATACATCTGCTTATGTTTGAGTTGTATCCCAAAGACTAATGACATTTGTCATTTATGCAAATCAAAATCTAATTTGACTTACTTAGGTATTTGAGGATGTCTCTACCATTACATGACTTCAGAAAAATACCATCAACCAGTAGCCAGAGACTGATTAGAATTTACTGAAGAAGCAAATGGTGATTTGTTCCCTCTAAAGTTGGTCTTTTGATGTTGTAACATCCAAGTATAGCGTTCTGAGACAATATGAGGATAATGATGTGAATGAATGAAGGAAGCACAAGGGGGCTAAAGCTGCAACAAATATCGAATTGTACATGCAAGTTCTTATTTTTAGCCTCAAGACTTCTGTTGCCTATTCTTCCTAAAGTTGCTTTATTTTTGTATATGTGATAATATTTGTCAAAACTCGAGTAACGCAAGATGTAACTTGGTGTGATTGCCAGTACACAGTTGTCTAGACAAGGGATGTTATCAGTACCTCATTAAGATCAGATGGACTGGGGGTTCCAATGGAGGACTGAAGTCCTTACAGTTCAAGAATAATTTTTTTTTTAATTCCCCTACGGCTTTTTTTGTTTCCTGCAGAAGCCAGCAGAATTCAACCTCCTCTCCCTTCTAGTAGCACCAGCTGTAGGTTCACTCATGGATTAACTATTTCTGTCAACTCCTCTTCAACAAAAGGATACCAAGATTTATCCAAACATATCTTGGCTAATGCTACCACTGAGGTAAGTAAAAAAGCGGAGTTTTCACTTATTTTTGTATCTCCTTCTAGAAGTTGTAGCAAAAATGGGTAGGACAAGTCTTATTCTACATTGCCAATAGTTACCTGTTTGTCAGATACAGAGATGCACACGCTAAACAGTTTTAAAGGGTGGGGAAGGGCTGCAGCCATGGGGTGCAGATTGTCACGTTAGCTGGAATGTTTGAGTGAAGCTGGTGTCATTTGTCATTGTGTTCTAAGGTAATGGCAGCATGCTCTCATAACCTGAGGAACCTCTACACGTGCCAAGCAGCAGCTGGGTGGAAGTAAGTTTATGAGACGTCTCTGTAACGGGTAGGGCTTTCTCTATACCTGGCCTTTGTGTGCAAATACTTTTGTCTTTGACAGATACCAGTGTACAGAAAAAGAGGTGCAGGTGTACTACAAAGTCTTCCCTTCAGCAACAAGGCATGGGTTTCTGGGAGCAGGAGTGATAGAAAGACCTCTTTCCTATGTGTGGGGACTAGTGAGAGATCCTTGCAAAAGGCATCTGTATGACAGATCTATCAATACAGCTCGAATACACAAGAAGGTAACCAGCCACATTCACCTGGGTGAGTATCCACACCAATGACTGACCACCTTATCATCATGATGGACTTTCTCAACTCAGGATGTCAGCCAGGAAGAAATTTAGAGGCATCTTACTTCATTTATTCAGGTCCGAATAAACAGTTTAATTAGGAAATATGGGAACTTCAGCTTTGCAAGACTTATCCCAAATAAAGATTAATTAACAGATCTTGCTAAGAAGTAGAACTAAAGTACAGAAAGTAAAGATAAACCTGAAGTGGCTTGAAAAAGCATTTTAATGACACATTACAGCATATCAGCTAGAGCTCCACTTCCAGGCAACAAGTCAAAATAAAATATGCATCTGCATTTAAGGGGTAGGGGAAAATTGTGACAAGTTAAAGTTGTCAAAGTCTAATTCCCCTTTTTTGTTGTTTTGGGTGTTTTCTTTCCCCAGTATATTTAGTGACTGATACCTCCCTATGTTACCTAAAGCAACCCCGGGATTTCTGCTGCATTACTGTAGAAGCCAAAGAGGTAAAGTGAACATTCTCTCTGAAGCATAGAGGAGTAGTTGTTCTGAGATCCTGGTTCAAGGATAAAGGAGAGAAAGAAGTAAAGTGCATCTCTTTCTGTTTCCAGAAGTGCCAGTGTAACAAAAAGAAAAGCCATGCCAATATCACACAAGTGAATTATGTATAAAACGGTCTTGTGAATTACAATTGACAATCAAGGCCCGTCAGGCAGTAACATAAGTGTCACACAGTCTATTCTGGTTATAAACATGCAAGATTTTGATGGGAACATATTTAATATATCACGTGAGAAATAATATTTCTCATTAAAAGAGCTCTTTTTAAGTAAGTAATATGATAAATATGCTTTATGGCAAACAAAGATATTACTATTTGCATAAATATATTACTATATACATAAAAAAATTTTCAAGTTGTCACCTTTATACCTTGTCACATGCAGGAGAATTTGTCTGTCCTGGCTATTCAGTCTGTCTATGACGCGTCCATGCCTCACCCTTGTAAAGAAGCAGTGAGAGGAGAGATTTTACCAAGTGCTTGGATACTGGAACCTGACATAGTGAATGGAAGAGATATCACCAGAGTTATTTACATGGCACAGGTAAGATTTGCTGTGTGTCCAATTATGAATGCAAAAAGGCTGTTGGGTAGCAGAACACTTAAGAGCTGGTAAGTAACAAAACCCACAATCCTTATGCTACGCTCCATGAACTTTATGAAGTGACCGTAAAAGTTACCTCCACTTCGCATGCTCTTATCTAGCATGATGCATAGCAGTGTATCCTAGACAGTCTTACTAGGACTGTAATTACGCACACATTCCCGAGTTTTTCCAGCATCTAAAGCTGCTACTTTGGATACCCAGCTCTTCTGTAAAGGCTTATTAGAAGGGTATGTTTTGTTCTCACATGGTGAGCCCTTGTTTGTGTTTTTGTCTTGCTGTGGACACATGAAGTCTACCTCGGGTTATGCTATGTTCAAAATGTCTGAAATTACTTGTTAAATTTTTCTAGCCTAAGTCATTAATTCTTTACAGATATTATTCTTTAACAGATAAAAAAAGATAAGTTAAAATTAGTATTCCAATTAAGAATAAAAAAATCCCGCCAGCCATTTCTTACAGACTCATCTGAAAAGTAGGCTCTCTTTGAGACGTGGAACGTAGTATTTAAAAGTGTCCAGGAGAAAATGCCATAATGTGTAAAATTTATTTAAGTGCTTTTGTACAGATAAATGACATTAGTCCATTAAACTCATCTATTTAAAACTTTTTTTAAATACATTTTTAAAAATATTATTAATTAGTATATGAATTTTACAATGTATATGTAAAACATATATATGCATTTTTAAATTTTATATGCATTTCATATTGCCTTTTGGTACATGCATATATGTTTTCAGTAACACTATGTTTCTTAAACTAGTAATATTTAATCCAGGCTCAAATTCAAAAGCAATGTGGGTCATACCTGCTAGAGGTAACATCAAATAGCAAAGCTTTGAAAGTCTACAGAGAATTAGGAAAGAAAAGAGACAAACCACGCAGTAATGATAGCATTTGGCTGTGAACTACTGTGGTGCTCAATGTATACTTGATACATGAGAGCTGTTCCAGGCTGGAGAAGTGTTCTGTTGAAAACCAGGTACAAACCCCAACATGCAGCCTCTCTTCTAATTCCTGCAGGTGGATCTTGGTGCCCCGGCTATCCCTGCAAGGCTCCTGAGTTCCATTGCAAAGCGGCAGCCCCTGGTGATTGCTCGACTGGCACATCTGCTTGCTAGTTAGTGTTTGTTTGGGACAAACAGGGACACTTCACAGCCGCTCACATTTCACAAGGAGACATAAATGTCAGTAAAGGTAATGGAAAATGCTGGCTCCTAAGGCAGCCACCACCAAGCCTCACTTCAGGAGCCTTTCTGCTAATGCTGGACTGTACAGAAATATAGTTAGAGAAAAGGATCATTTGTTTTAGCCAACTCTGCTTAGAAGAAATGCAGCAAGTCCAGTTGGGAACCTCCTAGAGACGGCAGCGGGAAACCTTCATGGAACAGCAGAAAGGTTTGCTGTCTTTATAAAGAGCAGAGGAAGAGACTTTGCTTTACAATAGCCAGCATCTTTGAGTGTATTATTTAATTTCTGTTTGCAAGCAGTGATCAACCTTCTTTCTTTCAGGAAGATTAGGCTGGAAGCAGTACACGTATGGCCTGAGACTTTTTGTAAGTTCTTGAGCAGAGCTGCAAAGCTACTTTCTAATGTTGAGATAAGTATCAAATGCAGAATTCCTAACTGTGTAGATAAATCATTTATCTTAGCTAGCTGCCTATCCTTTCTTCCCCTCAAGAAGAGAAGTTAAAGCAGCGCAATATCCACTAGTCATCCAACATCCTGGATAGATTTTTCTCATGTAAGTAAGTGGCTGTCTGCTTGCAGCCAGTGTAAGGTGTTTCAGATTGCCACTACACTATGCAGCATCAGTGGAAACCAACACACCTCAGGACAGTTTTACTGCACTGCAGAATCAGGTGCTTTGAAATAAAGAAACCAAACAGACGGCTCCAAACAGTGACACTTTGTCATGACTAGGGTAATACTCAGTAATCAGCTTGTTTCTAGAATTTAAATCCTGCAAGTAAGAGTAGCTCCAACATTTTTCCACACACATTTACCCAAATGCATTAAGAGCTGAAAATATAGCCTGGTCATAGTCTTGTCACACTTCTTTGTTCATAACATGACCAGCTGATCCACTGCAGCAAGTACAGACCCTTCCCATTCAATTACCTCATGGGATTTCTGTTGAACTTAGTCCAGCAATCCTGCTGTCAGGCTTTACATGTTTGTTCAACATACTCCCTAGTTGGTTCACATATTCCTTCATTTAAACAAAACCACAACCAACTCAAATATCCAAATAACTTCATTTCACTCTTCAGCACAACAGTACAGAATCACTTTAGATATACCTAAGCAATAAAAGCTGCTATGTTATGCTTTCATTAGCTAAAAAAGTCCACATTATTCAAAAAAGCTCTTGCACTTTAAATTTGTCAAGTGAGAAATGTGTATTCAAGCATCCACCTTATTGGAGTCAGTGCCTGCTACTTTAACATAGTTACTTTCAGTAAAAGGTGCATTTTCCCAGCATATGGTGAAGTTAGCTGCACTCCCCACCTTTGAGTTCAAGAGCCAAGATCTACTTTTACTATATCTTTGGACAGGTGTAATTTTGGCTCACAGCTTCTATGTTACTTCCTGTTACTAATATATTAAGTTTTAAATGAAAAGACAATAGCTATTTTAAATGGATACTTAAGAGCAATTTTGATACATGTCAGCCTAATGCTTCCCCCCTAAACTAGACCAGGTAGTATAACAAAACCTTTCACGTAGAAATGTGCTTTGTTTTATCTTTGGATAGTTGTGGTTACAATCTTAACACCAGTATATTACTGTCCTTTCTTTGGTGAGGCTCAGCCTCTTCCTAAAAGCCTGTCAAAGTGAGTCACAGCACAGCTCACTTGCAGCATCGTGCATTTTTTTTTCCATAATCCCTCAAGGAAGAAGTTTTCTGCTAGTGAGACAAATGACAGATTTCCTTTGGTGGAAACCCAGAAGGAAGAGCGAAAAAAGCACTGCATTAAAACCCTAATAAAAACAAGCAGAAACAACAGCACAGGGTATTGGGTCTGTCCCCAGTGCTGCTTCCACAGATTTCCACTAAAGATTTGCTCGGTGCTTTGCTTTTTTTCCCTTTTATTTTGGACATGGCACTAGTGATAAAGCAGTTTTTGTAGGAAAAACATCTAGGGAGACTCCTGTTGTTCAGTGATGCCAGTGCCTATGAAGGATAGTGTCTTACTGTACAGTGCATCAGATGTTTATTTTTATATATACTTTTTTTTCTATGTTTACAAATTAAGTTATTTATATATGCTTGGTTTGAGCCGGTTTTATATGCTGTCAAAGCTAAGTTTTATTTTTATTGGTATTGAATTAATGTAATTTTTTTTTTTAATACAGTCTTCAATTAATACTAAAAAGCCTATTTATATAAATGTTTTCTTTTGCAAATACAACATTTTATGGTACCTGCTAATGTATGGCATTGGTTTGTTTGGAAGGAACAAACAAAAACCCAGCAGATACTGAATTTGTTAATCTACAACAGGCAAAACCCAACTTCCTGTAAGTTCCTGCTGAGCAGCAGATGATCAAACCAATTGTATTGGACCACCTAGGGTTGCATCTCTGCTCTTAAATCAAGGTTGCTATTTTCATATCCACAATAAATGGTATTTTCTACACAAGAAGACGTGCTGCACCTTATTTTGCTCCAGATAAGATATCCATCTATGGAACTATGCTGGATGGAAAAATAACACAAAGGCAAGCTTGTGATAAGTTGTGTGTCTCTTCCTTGCCTGCTGAGGAGTGCACATGGAATATGAACTTGTAGCACAAGAGTTAATAAGCCAGTCACTGCTTAAATCTGAGTTCTGTGGCACGTGTCTTGTCCCAGCAAAGGTGGTTTGTTTTTTTTTTTTGGTATTTAAAAAAATTACATTGGCTGGAGCTTCTTCCTGAGTCCTGTTACACAACTCCCCCGACCTGCACATTCAGAAGGAAGGTAATATAACACTGTTTTTCCTAATTTGCTTTTGAGAATTGTGAGTTTGCAGTAGGGAAGAACTGGCAGAAGAAAGGCCACAGACTCAGACTTGGCTTGCTGTGAGATTTCTTCTCCCTATTGCTCTCCTGTTTGCGGCACCTCTGGCACTGTAGTTAGAGCAGAGCACAGAAAAGAGGTGCAATGCCTGAGGCACTGGCACTGAGAGGAGTCCACCAGCCCAGTGGGACTGCAGAGCTGTGCATCCTCGTAAGCACAGTCCCACTGCTGAGTGTCCACAGGCAGAAAATCAAGTGCTGTGCAATTGCTCCTAAGGTTTGGTTACAAAGGTGTCTGGCTTTACAGAGCAAACGTGGCTGGGTACCATGGGGTTCCCAACAACTACAGTATCTGCATTAAGTCATAAGAACGCAGAAACAGAGGTGTTCCTTACCTGCTGGGTTCCACTGAAGAGCTGACTGTGGTCTTTGGATGTTGTAAACTGCTCCTGAGGCTTGGCCACCTTTTAAATAAAAACTTCCAAACATACTGTATTAGAGCAGGATAATTGAGGTATGTTGATTTCATGAAAATGGCTGTAGCAAAGGTATCTACGCAAAACAAAGTTTTACAATACCCAAATAAAATCTGTGCCAGAGTCAAGAGCTCCTTTCCCCCCCCCCGCTCCCCTGCTTCCCTCCCCTGTTAAAACAAAGTTCTGTTTCAGTTGAAGAAAAGCAGCAGCAGGTTGGACAGGAGGTGTTACTGTACTTTCTCTGCCCCATGCTTTGTGGCAAGGTACTTGTTTTGTTCTTCACCCTGGTACAAAGAGATTATATATTGACAGCTTGAACACAAGATGCTTAATAATGTTTATTATGACAAACAGCAATTTCAAATGAGATCTGCAGCAAAACAAAACATAATAGCCTCAGGGAGCAGGTATGGCATGATATGGTGTACTTGCTGCTTTAATTTGTATTCCCATGTCTTGCTGTATATGCAGCATGACCTACTTTTAGGGACTGTCTCCTTCGTTTACATCAGAAAACCCCTAAAATGAGGAATGCAGATGGAACATGCCAAATCTTTCAATACAGGGCTTAATAAACCAGCAAGTCTCAGTACAGTTCAGATACTGATGTGCCTCTACAGTTTCTCTCTCTGTATAACATATATTTTAACAGAAGCCACAGTTCTACCTAATGAATCCTGTCTGTGGTTTTTCTTAAATCACTGACTCCAAGATGTTCCCTTTTCTCACCTTATACAGGGAAGAAGTTAGTTAATTATCAAGCTAAACAGCCCTGGTCTTTACTTTGCCTGGATGTTGTTCTTTAACACAGAACATGCTTTCTGGAGAAACCTACACTAATAGTTCACTCCTAGACAAAAGGAAATAATGTCCTCACTGCTACCAGGCAGGGTTGGGAGATCCCATGAGACAGCTAATGAGCATCTAATCATACTCTGCTAGTCACCAACAGTTCCTGCCACAAACCGCAGTTTTAAGGAAATAATTGTGGGAGGATGAACAGGAGATCATATCCTTGGTGACAATCTGTCTATAAGGGCAGAAAAATACCCACTGTCCTCCAAGAAAAGGACTCCTTTCAAAACCTGCCCTCCAGGGAGCATCACAGTTCTTCTTCTCTACTTTGTCTGCTCTTCCAGGCTGTAGTTTTCTTGCTGCAGCACCTCCTGACTGAAAAAAACCAAACTCAAGGCAAGAAGAATTATAAAAACCAGTGGATAGCAGCCAGATGCCATTTATGTTCACATACTATAAAAGTGTCTTAAAAATACTGTCTTCAGTAAAAAATATAAACAGATATTTTCTCCCTTATTTCTATTAAAACCCCTGGGAAATTATAAGTTCTGTTTCCAACAAGAGAGGGAAAACCACTTGAGCATCTACGTCCTTTAAGAGTAATGCCATTGATGGTCTGGTGTATTTAATATGATTTAACTTTTAAAATGAGTCTTAAAAAATTAAAACCAAACCTTCAACATTGAGCTTACAATGAAAAATAAATACAGGCACATCTCTGTGTCATATAGGTTCATGTTTTCCTTCCCCTGACAGTAGAGGCTTTCTTACAAGACAGCATGAGAAATCACATTGAGTTAGTTAAGAGAAGAGACAGCCACCAAGGAACCACCTCTCTGATCACAAAGACACTTGTCCACTTGAATTGATTCCTGGGTTTGGTCACAGCCTGTTGCTGCACGAATAAAAAAAAGTGCCTATAAGTCTAAAGAACAGCTGCTCTGAGCCACAATCAAGGTGCTTAAAGGACTTTTGACTTGGAGATCCGTTTGCTGATGTAAATCCTTCAGCGTAGTCACCACAGCAAATGTCCATGAACAGAAAGACAAGTGCAGGTTTTGCACAAAGTGACCTCTTATCTGCAGTATGCTCCCAACAAAGAGCTTCCAATCCATTCAGAAATGCTAAAAATCCCATTTGTGTCTTCATTAGTAGTTTTTGTCCGCAGAGTCCACCTCTGCTAACTTTGTGCAGTCACAGTACCTAGAGACCGTCTGGTCAGCTCACAAGGGTTAGTCCTGGGCTCCTCTGTATGATGTTCTGATATAAATACTCTGGACAGCATTTTCAGGTCTTTTAAGAAATCCTGTAACAGATACAAACCAGAGAACCCTTATTAACAAATGTCAACAAAGAGGCTTACTTCAACCTTCTAAAGTTCTTAACTAGAAGAAAAATTAACACATTGATGGTTTTCCAGTGATGACCCTGGACGCATTACAGAATTGACTGCAAAGATGAATGCCTGTAGGTCTACGTGTTCAGTCTCCCACCTAATACCAACATCCTTCTCAGAGAAGATCATTGCCACAGTTTAAATGGTTCAACATCTCCAACATGCAAGTGCTCACCAGCCATGAAATACTGCCCATCTTCAGCAAGGCATTCGGGTGGTTCCCTACATTTTGACTGTGGCCAGAATAGTGCAACTCCTATAGAAACGTCTGACTCCTCTCACACTCCAGTGATAAGAGGCACAGGGTTTTAAAGTGCACTTTGGGTCAGCTAAAACCCTTCCTAACATGTCATTCTCAACCCAAATGCAGCAAGTACATTTGGGCTAGAACTGAGAGCTGGGCACTGGGCCAGCTGGTTTCCAAACTGGTTTACAGTTTTCTTGCAAACATTTTCACTGCATGGGCAATGCTGGATTCACACAAGTACAGCTTTCAGTCAAACAATAACAACAGTAACAAGTTTGCTGGAAGCCAGTCCTTGGGCTGCATTAAGCAGGAATGACAGACAGGAAGGTTATAGGCCTTATCTATATGAAATAGAAATACAAGGATTGGCTGTTAATATAGTTTTACTTTTTATTTCACTTACTGATTGTTCACACCCATCTAATTACTTACTGAGGGCCAAGGGAGCTCTTCAAGGCTATGCAGGCAACTCTCTATTTCACTGGTTCTCATAAGTTCATGTTCTACAAGACCACGAAGCAAGAAAAGGAACAAATCCCACTGCAGAAGAGAGAAAAAATTATCAACAACTCAAAAAGAAATGGTTTTTGTGTTTGTTTCTTTATCCATTTACAATTCACACTTTGCTTCTTTTCGCCACATTCTGACCCCAAAGAAAACACATTATTTATTTGCGTGTGACAAAGAGGACAAGAGCAACATCCAAAATGAGTGAACAAAATTCTTCTAGTTCATACATTGTGTCCTACCATAGAGTCTTATAATTTCCAACTCTCAGTCTACCAACACACCAAGTATTTAATTCCTGCCTGTTCAAGAACAGCTTGAAAAATTACTACCTTACCTTCTGAAATAAGCTGGTTTTAGCTTGCAACTAAATAGGGTGACTTTTAGCTCCATAGCTGGGGTGCTTATAGCACCAATATGCATGCAAAAATGAGAAGTTGATAAAAGACACAAGAATGCAACCAATTACAGAGTCATGTGTGCCCAGTCCTCACCACATCCCAGGCCAAGTGGAGCCTTTTGCCATTTGTTACTAAATGAAACTGTACCTTCCTGAGAGCCCCTGTTTGATACCAGCCCCCAGGCAGGTATCAAACCCTGACAAGTAGCATGCTGTCCTCTCTTCCCTACCCCTGCAGAAACAGCAGCAGGTAAGAGCAGAACAAGCCTCCACTGGCCTCGTTCACACAAGCCACCAGTGAGCACTGTGGGCAGGCAGAACTCACACAGAGTATCTGCCCAGAGCGGACAGCTGGCAGCTCCACAGATCGGAATAAGCTTTACCTCTCGCAGCTTAACTTCTGCAAGGTAACCAACGTTCTTCTTGCTGAAGATCAGCTGCACAGGAACAGGTGTCCCAAAGTCCTCCTTCCAGACAGAGAGCAGCAGTTTTAGAAGGCCGTAGGTGGGATCATTCTTTACACGCAGCCTCTCGGGGCTCTTCTTTGGGGATTTGATCTCAAGACTCAGAGGAACACGATCTGAAACTGTGAGAAAAGGATGGAACAATAAACTTCTACAGCTGCATTATTTCCTTTTATAGTCATCGTCTTGGTACAACAGCACACTTAGTGAGTACAAACCAGTGAATCTAAGAGAACTGGAGTTCGAAATATGCAAAATTATGAGCTTTGAAACTATACAGACAAGTATTACATAGGAAGAGATTTATACTCCTCAGTCAAAGAATACTATTTGGTTGGCATATAGCCCAAAGTCTTGAAA